ACATCTAAAATAATCTAGTAGATATTTTTCAAAACACCACCATCTTTTCCTTAATTTTTCCACAAAACTACTAAGTTACACTTTAAGTTAAACCACTGAGCTGCTCTAACACCCCCAAACAGTTTTCTTAGAATCAGCACTGTTCACCTAGGCTGGGTCTGTCAAGCTAACTACAATACTGGCAGCAGCACCAAGTGCAGTGGACCACACTGGAGCTGTAAATTGAACAGTCTTAAGAACACGAGGCACAGGAAAAACATCGCAATGGTGCTCATAAGCTGTTTTGAAGCCCTACTCAGCATCTCTAGGTAGACAGGGCAACTTCTGAGGCTAGCTTAGGTGCCTTTATTACAATCCTGGATTCAACAACACAGACCAGCCTTTTTTTTTAAATCCTCTGCAGAGACTGGTGCTTTCAATGTCACAAATGCTTTTGCTTGCATTACCCTGCAAAAATGCAACCAAATCAAGATTAGAGACACTGTACATGCTTATAAAGGCAAAGGCTAACTTACCTGAAGAATGCATGACAATTAACCCTTTTAGAGAAAATTCTTAGAATACACGTGCTTCAGCAAGAGTGTGAAACCCAATTAAAAGTTTTCTTGGAGAGTCTTCAGATTAACAGCATTGCTGGTTTTTTCATCAGTAAAGTACTCAAAGGCATTCAGAATGTGAATAGTATAAAAACTATCTGCTTTACATCTGTCAAAATTTGTTTACATCGGTATAGCTATGTCAGCTTCTCTGTGTGAAAATACTTTAAACATTTAAATTGTTTTATTAATATTAGTTCAAGCTAGCAATTTTAAATTCAACTCTGATTTTGGCACTGAAATTTAGATTTGCAACAGCTGAAAATCTCCTAACTTATGATAGCAAAACTCATAACTAAAAGCACAACCATTTAAAGCTTCTTAAAACACGCAAAACAACTCTTGCAATAGTTTTCAAAAATAACCTTGGAAAATTAACTCCTCCCTTGATTTGATTAAAGCCTTTACAGTAATACTTTGCATCAGAAGATGCATAATTCTTCACTTACAGCAGCCAAATTGTATCTGTTCAAAACTACTTAGGAAAAGTATGTTCTTGCTAGGGAAAAAAGGGAAGTATAATCCTAGTGATGTAACATACCAAGGTCACATCAGTACCTCGAAAAATAAAAAGACCATTTTCTGACAACTTGTACTTCTGAAAAGAAAGGACATACACTTTCATAGAGCAGATGTAATTAAGCTGAACTATAGTTCTCTACAAGGTAATGGTCACTGAAATTCTGCTACAGCACACATACTGTTGTAAATAATTTCATTGTTTTCAAACGCAATTTATTCAAAAAGATAAATCCACTCAAATGTAGCTAAATAATGGAAAATAAAGGTACACTTTAAGGAAAATGCCTCTAATGAAGAGCCATATGATGGCAGACATTCCCTATCTTCAAGCTCACAGGGTTTAAGATTATAAATTGTGTCCTGTGACTGGACTACAGCAACTGATTTTATAGCATTTGACAGGACTCGCCAACAAAATTCCCAATCAGTTTAGCTGAGAAAATTAGCTTAGACAAAACCTTTTCACTTGTTCAGTTTCTGTGGCTGCTGTTGCCAAGCATGTTGCCATTTTGCTTGTGCTCCTGGAGAGTTCTTTGGTGAACTGGCTCCCAAGAATAAGCAAGGTCTGAGGCTGTTCAGCCTTCCAGCTGGGCAAATTCAGCCCACCATAGCCTGTCACACTGCCACCTCTTCCATCACATCATACTGTAAATTATTTGGAGCAGAAAAATCAGAAAGTGAGGTCAATCAAATGGATCTAACACGTCATTATCTACTCTGTCCTCATCGTGTAAACCTATTCTTAGCATTCCTCCTTTTCTGAGCTGTTGATCAGTTAAGTATCTCTTACCTTGCTCAAGTCAAAGATGATCCCGGTGCCTGTGCTTCCTATTTGTTCAGTGTTTCCAACTTCAGTTTGGTTGGACAGAATTATTGCTGTTGGTCTTGGTTTTATTCAGCCATTAATGGACAGATGGACTGCAATGAATCTATTCAATTCCAGAGGAAAAACACAGCAGTCCATAAATACTTTTTAAAAAGCACACTTGAAGTTTCATGATTCATTTTTCCAGTTCTTGACAAAAACTAGTTCTTTATCTTTTTATGGACTTACTTCCTACAAGTTACTTCTCTTCCACCTTGTTTCTTGTGTCACGCTTGACAACAGTACCTTAAACAGATCTCCATGAGTCACATTTCTTCATGGAAGCCACTTTCTGGTCCCATACAGCCAGAATATCAACACTTAACACTCTGAATACAATTCATTGCCTTGAAACCAAGATTACACACTGCAGGGTAAAGAGCTTTGAAAAGATTGGTTTGAAGTATCATGCCACTCCACCATTTCAGTTAAACAGGACTAATAGAGGAAATGGAGATGCAGGAGACATGCAAAAAGGCCCCTGGGTCAGTCTGGTACCTTATATATGCTAAAAGTTATCTTTGGGGAGTTCTAGCAACTAAAAAGGAAGCACGAAGGTACCTGGAGTGTAACTTCTTCCACAGACACTTCCTAGCATTCACCACGTATCTGTGAAATGCAAATGGCTGGAATGGGGTGGGCTGCAGCTGGTGGACCCAGGCATTTCCCAGGGTAGTCATTCAGGCTGTCAAGACTGTTCACCTAATTACAGAAAAAAATTGTAAGACTCTTGAGTCAAAAAGCAGCCTTGTTTGCCACAAGAAGCAGTGAAGTAGCTGCATGCCTTTATAAGGACTGGAAACAAATAATCACTTTGATACAAATTTGGGTTAAGAGACACGTACTGTACACATATACCTTAAAAGAAGTAAAATGGTCTATCTTACGGTTAGCTCACTGGCTATTTGTGGCAGCTGGGAAAAGAATGGTAACAATCACATTCAGCAACTTCTGAAGATAATTTTAATATCAAATGTATTGGCATTCTCATAGCACAAATCTAACAAATCTACAAAGGCAGTCCTTTAATGTTACAAAAACAATTTAGAGAAGTTTATACATGACTTTTACTTTTAAATATCCATGAACCAGACAATCTAAAAAAGAAGAAATTACTCTATGATAAAAATTAAGTTTACCGTAAGAAAAACCCCAAACTATTTGTCATAAGGGAACACTGAAAATATGCATCAATTAAAAAGGTGTAGAGAAAGGGCACACATTTCTGCATTTTATCTTTCATCTGTCTTACAATAAATACACATCATCCCTGTAAGTGATGCTGATTTTGTGATTTAGGTGATGAAAGCCACAAAACCTCTGGGATGACGGGGACAGATGATGTTGGGCTGGTAGTGACAAACTACAGAATTAAACTAGAAACAAAGACAAAAACCACACAGTAATTGCACTAGGCTGCTCACAGCTATACAGAAGGTAACTGTGCTCAGCAAGTTATCTTAAAATTGTCTCTCTTCTCCAGAAAGAATGCTTCCTGGTTTGAGAAACCATGGTGGGAAATTTTTTTGGATGACTGTACAGAACCTGAAGTAATAACTGGATTTTCCAAATGCTAGGTTTCAGAGTTGTCTTGAGGGAAGGGGCCCTGAGAATTCCAAAATGCCATAAAAATGCTCACATCTTTGGGTTGCCCTCAATTTTTGTTTTAACTCTCTAGACTACTTCCAGGTTTAAGAGCTCTGGTTTTGTACATACATTTATGACACAGATGGTTTTAATGGTTATCTGACACATGGTCCTCCTGAGGGGTGTGATGACACTTAAATAAGGAACAGAGAAAAGCATCCTCTTAAAACAGTCAACTTCTATTGTGCAGTAGCTATAGAAAAAAGTGTGCACGTCAAAATGTTATTGAAGTGTTCTGCTATCACTGTTTGAGGAATAACTACATGCATAAATTATTAAGACAATAACTAGTGCTAGTTTATCAAATCAAGTCTGAGTTCAAACACTCAAATATTTGGGCATCTTTACTCAATTCTCCCGAGCAAAGTATAAATCCTGTTTGCCTTATATGTAAATTACATATCTTAAAGACACATTAAATAACATAATGAACTTTTTGAATTGAAATGGCCTTATTTTTCAATAGAACACCTCAGACTTTTGAGGTTATTGAGGAACAACCTTTCTAATGCAAGTGATACCATAAGATTCGCAGGTATAACTCCCCAAATTAAGGCAAACAGGATTAAAAATCTACTGCCTAAATGTATTGTATTGGCATGTACTTTGAAAGCAAGACTTCTTCTAAAATTTGATAAGGAAATAATTCATAAAAAATATTTTTAAAAATTCCACTCTCAACTTTAAGAAATTTCAGTGGTCACACTCAAGCAGATGTTTTCCACTCATGGAAATAAATTTTTTATGATGAAAATGCTAGGTAGGGGGGAAAAAAAAAAACAATAAAAAAAATCACAACTCAGCCTCAAATCTTGGCAGAACTTTCTGACACATGCGGACTACTTCTGTATATAATCAGAAAAAAAAGCAAAAAATACATCTCTAAAGAGAGTTGATATTAGATCCTTAAATTAAAACAATACATAGTATTCATTTTATTTGTACGACCTGCAAAATTGAAAGAGACAGTATAGGATCAAAATCCTGTCTTCCGGCCTGACTCCTACACGATCATATGTGTTTATATAGAATTGTAAAGAACAGGCTCCAAAAGATGAAAATATTTTTACATCCTTGTGGCACATAACCTGTACACTGCTTTCATATTCCAACTAAAGAATCAATTAGCAATCCATATGTATCAGCTTTAACTTACATATTTACACTTATCTACAACGTTCTCCTTCCCCCCCACTACCAAAATGAAAAAAAAATTCTTTAAATAAATACACACTGAACAAACAAAATACTTCTTGTAGTTAGCTTCTTTTTTTTCTTCCTTCAAATGCAGAGAGTCCAAAAGCTGCTAAGCAGAGTTCCAGTTACTTTATACAACAATGTTCTTTGCCAGGTCTGGCTTATTAGATTTATTAGCTGCTGCTGCCACTATGCTGTTGAAAGTGCAGTTGCAAGATGAGGTCTCGAATTTCTTCTCTTTTGCTTCTGATCAGCTGACGAGGGAACCACTTCTCCAGATGCAGTGGCTCTTCAAAGTTAACTATGGGATTCTGGTAACAGAAAAATGAATACGGCATGAATTTCCTAAAGCAGCCCTCAAAGAATTGGAACCCTTCCATTACTGCTGAGACCAAGGAGGCACAAACAAGTTGCCATGAGACCGTGACAGGCTTCAAGGTCAAATTCCAGTTCCTCCATGGTAATCACCTATATACATACCCTTACCACAAGCTACTCATGGTAAACATCAAACAGTTTATCACCATTTCTCTTAAACATACATATTCAAAGCAGATGCCATGTACTATCATACAATTAGACATACTGTTGATACCTAACAAGGGACAGATGCACTTTGGTCACAAAACACACACGCACAATCACACTGTAGGGAAGGATCAGGCATACAGCATGATGAGGTTTTGTTGCCTCAGGCATGTTCATGCCTCAGCAAGAACACTGCTAGCAGTTTTAGCAGGACACGAGAGGGGGAGAATTCAGAACAAAAGAGGATAGCAAACTGAAATGGCTGAGAGATGCTGGCAGCTTTGGACTAAGACCAAAACATCACATCTAATTTGCCAAATTCAATTTTTTCCCCTCTCTCCCTCTTCATTCTTTTGCCATGCTTATATTTCACCTTCTCCTTCCTTTGAATAAAGTAGCATATGATAAATTGAAAAAAGCAAAGCAAAAAACACATCATGATTTGCAGTCTGTGAGCCCTGGTATATTTAGAACAAATTACAACCACCTTGTCCTGCCCTTGTTTCTGCAAGCAGAACATGACCCCACTATTAGAGAATGGCATCTAGCCATCAGTAAAGAATTTCATTTTCCACCTACACAAGAGCTCAACTCATCTATCAAAGAATCACAGAATGGTTGAGGGATTGAAGGATCTTCTGGAGGTCACCTGGTCCAACCCCCCTCCTCAAACAGGGCCACCTGAAGCCAATTGCCAGGACCATGTTCAGATGGCCTCTGAATATCTCCAAGGAGGGACACTCCAAATCTCTCTGGGCAAACTGTGACAGAACTTGTTTGCCCTCACAGTAAAAAAAAAAAAAAAAAAAGGCATTTCTAACATTCAGAGGGAACCTTCTGTGTTTCAGTTTGCATTCACTGCCTCTTGTCCTGTCACTGGGCACCAATGAATAGAGAGGGCTCTGTCCATTTTGCACCCTCCCTTCAGATATTCGTACACACTGATAAGATCCCCCCTGAGCCTGCTCTCAAGAGTCCCAGCTCTCTCAACTTTTCCCTCGCAGGAGAGATACTGGGGTACCTTAATCATCTTTGTGACCCTTTGCTTGACTTGCTTCAATAGCACCATCGCTCTCTTGTACTGGGGAGACCAGAACTGGACACAGCACCGAGGAGAGGGGAAGGATCCCCTCCCTCAAACTGCTGTCAACTTTCCTCTTGACACAGACCAGGATACTGCTATCCTTCTTCGCCGCAAGAACACACTGCTGGCACATGTTCGACTTGGTGTCCACCAGGACTCTTAGGTCCTTTTTGGCAAAGCTTCTTTCCAGCTGGCTGACCCCCAGCATATATTGGTGCCTGAGGTTGTTACTCCCTGGGCGCAGGACTCTACACTTCTTGTTGAACTTCATGAGGTTCATGCTGGCTCATTTCTCCAACCTGTCAAGGTCCCTCTGGATGGCTGCATGACCCTTTGGTGTATCAGCCACTCCTCCCAGTTTTGTGTCATCTGTGAACTTGCTGAGAGTGCACTCTGCCTCAACATCCAGATCATTAATGAAGATGTTAAACAGGACTGGACCCAGTATTGACTCCTGAGGTACACTGCTAGTTACTGGTCTCCAAGTAGACTTCCTGCCACTGATCACCTCTCTCAGGACCCATCCAGTCAGCTGTTTTTCAATCCAACTCACTGCCTGCTCATCCAGCCCATACTCCATCAGCTTCTCTATGAGGATCTTATGGGAGACAGCGTCAAAAGCCTCGCTGAATCCGGGTAGACAATATCCACTGCTCTCCCCTCATCTACCAAGCCAGTCGTTTCGTCATAGATTATCAGGTTGGTCAAGCATGACTCCCTTTTGCCTTGGTGAATCCATGCTGACTACTCTCAATCCCTTTCTTGTCCTTCACATGTCTGGAAATAGTTTCCATGATTAGTTGCTCCATCACGTTCCCAGGGATTGAGGGGAAGCTGAACAGCCTGCCACTACCCAGGTCCTCCTTCCTGCCTTTTTTGAAGATAAAAGTGATACTTGCTTTTCTCCAATTCTCTCCTGATTGCCATGACTGTTCAAAGACTATAAAGAGTACTCTAACTATGGTATCAGCCAGCTCCCTCAGCACTCATGGGACCATCCCACCAGGGCCCATGAACTTTTCAATGTCCAGTTTAAGTGTTTCCTAGCCTGATCCTCTTCCAGCAGGGGTACGTCTTCCTTGCTCCAGTCTTTTCCCCAGTCTCTAGGGCCTGGGACTCCTGAAAGCCAGTCCTGTTAACAAAAAGAGTGAGATGATGTGGAGAACTATTCCTGCAGTTTTGCAGAGACTGCAAATTGACTGTCTCCAATGACTTGTGGTGTCTCAAAACATTCCAGTTGCAGATAAGAAGATGGCGGGGAATGCGCTGAAAGCCTTACTCCATGGACTGGCAAAGCCCCTGCTCAGTAAGGCCATCAACGATGGACAGCAAACCCCTGCTGAGTCTAACAATGGACTCAGTCTTGCTCTTACAACAAAGTAGCAAATACCTGCCGAGCAAGGCATTGCCTCTGCCTATAGGAGGTGAATAAGCAAAGAGAAGGTGTGCTTGCGCCCACCACCTGAGGACTCCTGAGATGCTGACAGACTGATCGAGCAACACCCCCCCACCTTTCAAGATGTCAATGCTTTTTTCCAAGGATCCAAAGAGTGGTGAAAACTTTTCTCTCTCTTTTCTCTTTTTCCTTTCTTTTTCTCTTCTAGTTATCTCTTGATCTCTCTCTCTGGCACATATGGCAACACCTTATAAGTTTCATGCCAGCTCCTTTTGGAGCTGTTTTAGCAGGTTTTCTGTAGGTTGCTTATTTTAGTACTGAAAAGTGATTGCAAGTGTTGTAAACGGTTGCTGGTTAAGTGATTGCAAGTTTTGTGACGGCTGTGGGTTTCTTAGTATTGTTGATTATGCTGTCGCTATCACATTGCTGTAAGATTTGGTGTCGTTGGCGGTTGGTAGTGTTGGCATGAATTGTCTTTATCAAGTAATTTGTTTTCTTTTATAATTCAGTTATATTCCACATTTTATACCCTACATTTCCCTTTTCCCCTAGTACATTTTCATGTAGATTGCTTATTTTGGTGGTGCTTATTACTAACCCTAGTGATATTGGTAATTATGCTATCCTTGCCCCATTACTATGAGATTTTGTGTTATTAGTGGACGGTAAAATATTCATGGATTGTCTTTACCAAGTGATTTCCTTTTCCCTTGACTCTGTTGTATACCCCACATTTTCCCTTTTCCCTAAACAATTATATACCCCACATTTTCCCTTTTTCCCTAAACAATTATATACATTAAAAATTATAAGCCAGTATGCAATTCTTTGGTGCCGTCTCACCTTAATTTGCCCCAAGGCAATATATATATAGAACCTCCGCGAACCCCACTCGTCCCACCCAGGGTGGTTCTATGTGCTGGGTCACGACAGATGAAGACATTCAGAAGCTCAGCCTTTTCCTTGTTCTGTGTCACCAGGGTCCCTGCCCCATTCAGCAGTCAGTCCACATCTTCCCTGCTCTTCCTTTTGCTGCTTACAGAATTACAGAAGCCCTTCTTGTTGACTTTGACATTCCTCACTAGATTAAACTCCAGTTGTGTTTGGCTTTCTAAATTACGTCTCTGCATACTTGGACAGTGTCTCTACATTCCTCCCAAGTTACTTGTTCCTGCTTCTGTCCTCTGTCTACTTCCTTTTTATGTTTGCATTTTGCCAGGAGCTGCTCCTCCATCCATGCAGGCCTTCTGGCATCTTTGCTTGACTTCCTGCTTGTTTGGATGAACTGTTCTTCAGCTTGGAGGCAGTGTTCCTTAAATATCAACCTTGAATATCAGTCTTCTTGGACCCCTCTTCCCTCCACGGCTTTATCCTATGGAACTCTTCCAAGCAGATTCCTGAAGAGGCCAAAGTCCAGGCCTGTGATCTTTCTTTTTGCCCTGCTCCTTCCTCTCATGATGCTGAACTCCACCTCACAGCAGTCAAGGCTGCCTTTGGCCTTTACAGCTCCAATCAGACCTTCTTTTCTTGTGAGTATGCAGTCCAGTAGAGCACCTCTCCTCACTGGCTCCTCTATCACTTGGGCCAGGAAGCTGCCATCGATGCTCTCCAGGAACCTCCCAGATTGCTTATGTCCTTCTGTGTTGTCCCTCCAGCAGATGTCAGGGTGGTTAAAGTCCCCCACAGTGACCAGGGCCTGTGAACATGAGGCTGCTTCTATCTGTCCACAGAATGTCACCCATGTTAGTCTGTTCTTTAAGCATTATCCATAAGCTCTCAGTTGGCTCCTCATCCAACCCTAGGCAGAGCTCCATGCATTCCAGCTGCTCTCTCATATAAAGGGCAACTCTACCTCCTCGTCTTTCCAGCCTGTCCTTCCTAAAGAGCCTGTATCCATCCATCACAGCACTCTAGACACATGAGCTATCCCACCACATCCCCATGATCTCAACAAGACCACAGCCCTGCAGCTGCATACAGATCTCTAATCCGTCACATTTATTCCCCACGCTGTGTGCATTAGGATAAAGGTGCCTTGGAATGGCAATCTTTTCTACTACAGAAGAAAAATCTGTTCACTGGCCAAGGACCCACATAAAGCTTTCCATGCACAAGACTCCCAGAGATAATGTGGACCACATGTATAAGCATCAAACAAGCAGAGCCATTCAAAGGACAGAGCAAGAGGGCAGTGCACTGATCAGGGCGAGGAAAACTTGGGGACACCCTGAAAGACAGCACCTGAAGCCCAGCATGCAGATAATAGGGTACAGTAATCATGCAGATGGGGTATGGTAATCATGCAGATGATTAAAGGTATGTGCTGAACAGGACAGAGAGGCTGCCTAAGATCTGTGCATTCCCTTTTAAGGACTCCCCACTCCCTCTCTCTGCAGAAGCTGCTGCCTGCAGAGCCACTCGAAGGCCAATGCAGAAGCTGACCAAAGTTTTAGAGGCTGCAAGAAGAGATGCACTGAAAAGATGCCTCAGTTAACATCTGTAGGCCAGAAATGCATAAACTAAATAGACTCCAAATACATCCAAATAGTGAGGGATATTGAATGTGTCAATGTAAAAGCAACATTAAACTATAAGGTCAGAAATGCTTGCCAACAAAGACAGAAGAAAAACTGTCTCTGCTCCAGATACAAAGAACCCTGCCACTACTTGAAGAATGGGTTTTACCTCCTCTTCCTCAAATGGCTTTGATACTTTTTAGGCTGAGTGTCACAGTATTTCCCTCAGAAACACTTTTCTGGGGTTTAGGGTGATTTGGGGAAAAAGAGAAAGGTAGTTTCCTTTTGTACCTGGAAGAAGCTTTCCACATACTGCAGCAAATAGACCCCACAATCACTGCTGTTATCTTGTTTAGGCACTCTGGGACACAGGTCAATCATTGTTGATTTATTGAATTCCCGATATGTTTTTCGTTTAGCTTCCCATTCCACTTCAAGGTACCTAACAAAAGAAAGCAAATAGATTAAATACTTGAGAAATAACTCCCAAGCTCAATGCATTTTGGGATACTACTCAATACTGTTCTGGAGCTGGCCAAAAAGCTAAAATAGCTTTAACCAATTTCTTTCACAGAAGCTGTCAAAGAAATTCATACAAGGAACAACACAATTTCCACTATCCAATATTCTATCACACTCAGAGGCGTCTCTACCAGGTCACATGCAATATACAAAACAGAAAGATGCATGACGTTATTTAAAAAAAACCAATTATTTGTGCTGAGTTTCTTCAAGCTATTAAGATACCAGGACATTTTTAAGCCTTAACTAAAGGAAGAACTCAAGTAATCTTTCCTGGCTATCACACAGATTTCTTTCCTGGGTTCATCCTAAGAGGTCAGAGGGGGTTTTCTAACCTAAGAAAACCCTTAAAAAAAACCTTAGAATTCACCTTACAAAGAACAGCAGTTACAGTTGCACTAATATAACCCTTGCAACATACTAGTGTACAAGATATATAAAGACTTGTTAAAAACCTTAAGGGATCACTTCCTTAATGATTATGACTTATTTATTATCATGCTTTTCTGTTGGTTTTGTGCTTCAGTAGCAACACACTGGCCCCACATACTGGGCTGACCACTGATTTTGGAGGTGGGATTGAAAGCATAAGGGTCTGATTTTCAAATGTGACAGTTACCTATACTTCTCTGCCAGCTTTAGACAGAGTTGCAAAGGCTAAGGGCTTGTGAAAAATCAAACATAAGTTCTGACTTTAGGGAAAAAAATATATATATACATTAAGCCAGACCTTGTGTGTAATTTTTGAAAGCCCCAAATCCTTGCAATTGTGAGAATAAAAACACCCAAAACACCTTTGGGGAAAATGGCAACTGTGAAAAGAAGGCAAACATGAAACAATTCAAAGATGAAGACAATTCAGTGAAGCACACTCCCTAGAAACTGCAAGAACCTATGACTGCAGACTTAAAAATTAAATTTGTCTGAGCCTGACCACTGCCCAAAACACAACAAAAATCAACTCAAGGAAAGAAGAGGTCATGGAACCCCTGCATCAGTTTCCTTAAACTTCTGCTTTCATGGTGTAACTGCAAATTGAAGGAATAAGAGGTCTGCCTCCCAGACCTCCCTGATCTCACAGTTTCATCTCTTTGTTTTCTGACTTTTCATGACAACCCTCTGAACCCCAGAAACCACCCTCTCTGAAATTTCAACACCAGGAGTAGTTCAAAGCATAGAGTACTAATACTAAGTTAATACATCCCACAGAGACTAATGAAAAAAAAAAAAAAAAAAAAGGTTATTTCATTTTTCTTCCCAAGACACCCATGGTGCAGAAGCCTCTGTCTAGGGAAAAGATGGTTTCACAAAAATTTCTGATTCTCATTTAACCCTCACATAGTATTTTGAAAAATTTACTTTTACAAGAAGGATGTACTATTTGGTTTAATGATTTTTGTTCCTGTCAGTCAAGTGAAGACAACAGAAAACAAACAATTCTGTTTAGCTTCAAATATTTAATATTAGCAATATTTTAAGAAGTTATTAATAGATGTTAAACTCATTAGGAGCATGTAGAATTACTGAAAGTTTGAAGACGTTCTTCCAATACTTACCTACTTATCACATAAAAGACTGCATATATTTTTCCTCTCACTTTTCAAAACAAATAATACCATTCCAATGTAACTACACTGCCATATCAAGCTTTTAGACAGTTTCAGTCTAGTTTCTGCTTTTATGCACATAGATAGGAGTGGATTTAACACTGTAATTCTGTAAGGTCCATAAAAAAAATTACAATCAGCCCTTTGAAAAATTAATCATTTAAATTTCAAAGTATCCGTTTTAAAGAAGCTGTTTTTCTACCCTTAAAAACAATCTCCATTACTGAAGCAGATTAAAAAAAATCCAAAACCCCCCTCTACTTTTAATTTTTATTTTATTTTTCAAAAAGACTGTCCACTTTACAATTTTTGCATTATATCTGGGCTGCAGAATGAAAACAGGCTTTTCACACAAGCCTCTGTATTGTTATTACAGTTTTCTTTGTCATGGCTCTTTAGCATTAGAAATCTACGCCTTTATAGAGAAAAGTATTTTGAACATAGAAATATGATCAATAGCATCTCTTTCTAATAAACAGAAACTGTAGTTACTTACTCTCTCAAAAGCTGAACTGTCTTTTGCACGGAACCAGCTTTCAAAGAATCTAAGATGAGTATACAAGGCCTGTACACAACAAAAACAAACAAAAAATCATTGTAGTCTTTCATAACCAACACTACTGAAGCAAATATTTTGTTTGAGTACAGATTAACAAGAGCATCAATATCTAAACAAATACGGAAAAAAAAATGCAGAAGTTCCTACATCTGTGCCTTTATGACAACTGAAAGACTGCAGAATTTCTTAATATAATTTAATGATACAATATTAGTATGAAAACAGAAACGTACCTTTTACAAATCTGCCTTTTAGAATTACTTAAGGACATCTGGGAAAAGAGAAAATAAAAATAACCTTAAAAAAACTACAACAATTACAAACTCAAACATCTTCACAGATTTAAGGCTAAAGCCAGAGAGGCTCCCATTTCAGAAAAGGAGAAACTGATACATAATTTTTAAAAACACATGAAAGCATAGCATAGACAACATAGGTAGGCAAAGGAAGACTTCGGGCTAATTCAAAGTGCCTTACGCATGCAGCAGGCCATGCAAACATTGACAGCTGCTGCTAAAAAAATAATGCAAAATCACTTGGTCAAGTCACAGAGCCTTCAGAAATAGCATAATACATGTTTCCTCTGTCAGTACAAAAAGGCACTTACTTTAGAAATAGCTGAATCCAGGACTGAAGCAGAAGCAGCAAACTCATTGCTACCTAGTACAGAAGAACAAATTTAAAAGTCTTAAGAAAATATTTCCTAACTTAAATATTTTCATTTTCAAATTCATGACTATTTGTATTCAAAATATGATAGTAAAGTATTAACCAATTTTGCTCGCCTTCTGAATGCTCAAACAGCAGAGTTACTGAGGACCTTCCTTCCTGACAAAATTCTTACTGAAATCCAAGAACTTTCCACTCATGATGGGATCTGAGCCACTGATTTTACATGTCCCTTCCAGTATTTTCCAGAGTTGTGGACAACAAGACTTCAGTGCAGTCCTTGCTATCCATGGTAATACAAAAACATATTACATCAATCTTGATGTGAAAGACACTTTTTAAGACATCATATCTGTCCTTCAAAGATTAAGACACTATTAGAACTGTATATGGCTTGACATAATTTTCTTCTAGATTACCTACCTTTTGAGAATAAACCTCTGTTAGCAACCACTTCTTCTTCATCCTTCCAGTTAACAGAAAAGGCCAACACTGAACCAGTTCTAGTGTTCTCACTCTCTGACCCAAATGGAGACTGTTGAGGCTGGTGATTTAATGAATTCTGATGGGGACACTCCTCATACACAGCTTCTTCTAACCAAGGAAAACAGATAACTGCAATGTACCAATGAGACCTGCCCAGCAGTGGGGAGAGGGGGGGGAAAAAAAGGTCAAAACTGTATAACATTTCATTATGAAAAGGATATTTAAAGTTTTCATAACATCAAGAGCTCACGGACAACTGTTCTGTGACACACACAATCACTGCCATGTTCCTTCATGGTATCTCATACTAACCCTCTCACTTGCTTTTTACTTTGCATTGTGGCATAACAACAAAATTAATTTTCAGCTCCTTTAGAAAACCCCAACAAACCCAACACAGCAATTTATCAGTGTCTCATCACCCATTCCACACTACTAAAAAAAAAAAAAGTAATAAAATAATCTGTGATGGTGATCCCAGTTTTGAATATAGCTGAGGGTATGGCAGGCTTCGAGCCTTATCTCTTTCTGCAGCTGTTTGGCATATGTGACTCCCAATGACTATTCAGTTTTACTGGAGTTTCCATGTGCAGGTCAGTTATTCCACCAGGCCAAGGCACAGGCCACCGAAGTACTAATCCTGATCCATTAACACTATGAGTTGCTGTGATTTCTTTATATAAATATTACTTCAGTGCACAGGAATCATCAAAATGACTCACAAATTATTTTGAAAAATACATAAAAGCAATTTTCAGTAAAACAAAAAACAAAAGATGCAAAGTTTATCGAAGACAACTAAACTTTTGAAGAGACTTCAAAAATTACTCATGCCACACCTGTTACATCTTCAAAACCTAATGTGTTTACTTCCCATGAGCCAAGCTTACAGACATAAATCTTTTTATCACCACAGCATTCAAATATTTAAATCTTTAAATATCAGAAAAGGTGTCTAAAACACATAGACTTACTCCTCATTCACAGGCACAAAAATATAATCTTTACTGAAGATATTTATATGACGAGTCCATGTCCTTACTCTTCTGTGTCTTCTCTGTGCCGCCCTGCAGAAATCAAATGACAGTTGTTGTTCGGCTTTGCTCTTTCCAGTTAAAGCAAGGTATAGGGATTAGTACTCCTACATCTTTACAGTCCCTCAATGGATTTTTCATTTACTGGTGAATTTTCCACAACAGAGTAAAAGAAAAAAATCAGCACACCATTAAGTCCAGGTGACTAACAAGCAATTTCTGAACCATCTTAAAACTCTTCTGGAAAAGATGATCCAAAGATTTGAAAGGATTTCTTACAGTTATTTATGCACTTTGCTACACTAAATGCAAAGATCTCATCTAAACACCAGCCAGTGTAAAAACAGATCTATTGCAATTTATAAATACCCATGAATTAAACTTCACAATACCACTTTTGAAGGCCTGTCTAAACAACCTTATCTTCTGAAGGAAAAAGCTAAATGCCTTGCATAGGGTCATGCAACACACCTGTAGCAAAGCCAGAACTGAAACAGACTCTCTCCAGTCCTCAGCTTTAAATGCTGGAGCACATTTCATTTCCAGTTCCTACAGAAATAAAGCATGAGGACAGGATACTAAGAGAATAAGAAAAATTTGAAAAGAAACCTAAATTTATATTTTCAACTTTCTTAGTTTGCACAAGTTGAAACAGAAACCAACGGTTAATAGAACTTTGCTCCAATATCATCTGAAAGCAAAATTCACTCTACTCAGGAGACATCCCTATGACCATTCTGATGCCATCCTGATCTGTGATCAAGAAACGTGACTTCAGGTTAAGAGGAATGGGAGAAAAGGACTGAGGAATGTAAAAACCAGCTGCTGTGGGACTCTGCATGGGCCAGCATTAAGTGAAGACTTGCTGCAAACTTCCTCTGCTACATGACTCTAGAAGTACTGGGAACTTAAAAGGGGATGGCATGTTTGCAACCTGGGAAAGCACCTGTAGAAGCAGCTTTCTCAGTCTACTGCCTAAGCAGTGTGAAGAAAGAGAAGCAAAGGGTCTTTAAGTTAAGTATCTGTATCGGTTGAGATTAATTTCAATTACAACAATACAGAGCCCAATTTTCCACTATCCATTTATCCACAAAAACCCCACAGAAACAAAAAAACCCTGACTACCTGTATTCACCAGGTAAGTATCTATACCCAAACACAAAACTGGAATTTCCAAAGCTATCTGCTGATGCGGAGCAGCTACAGTCATTCAAATACGGTGAATTAAGAGTGCCATTCTAGTTCCTCAAGAAGGTCATGGACAGTCCAGCCTTGTAAAAGGAATCAGATCAAGGCACAACAGCATCCTTAATGTGGATAATTTTGTCTCCACCTCAGAACGTTCAGGGTCAGAAGACAGTAAAATGATGGAAGACATTCTCTCAAGCACAGCTCCTTGAATTTTTGAGACATCTTTGAAAATATTACAGAAGTTGCATTTTTTCCCTTTAACATAGCTTTCACCCAGCAGTGACTGTAACACAAACAAGATGGCACAACTCTGTTCAGGTGGCCTCATTTGCCAGTAGAACGGAAAGCCTGTGGACTTCATGGATAGTAGAAGAAAAATCACTTCAGAAAAACAGAAAAAAAACTTTGATAAGCTGAATGATGAAAACAGAATGGAAGTTGCCAGCAGATCTTCACCATAAGTGAGGTGGCAGGGCAAGCTCCAGTCTCAAACATCAGTGATGAGACAGAACAGAAATCGTGCTAGGCATGGTCCTACCCTTTACACAGTCTTAGCTGAAAACAAAAAGTGATACAGGGTTCTTTAGCTCTTAATAATACCTTTTCATGAAACTGTCCAATCCCAGTGTGCTTAACTGTTAAATAACAGATGTGTAAACTTCATGTGTAAGAAAATTTTCTTACTAAATACTTGGAAAATAATTTATTACCAATATGTTGTAAATCTAAAAACGATGCATGCCTTGCAAAACTCTGAGTTTATTATAAAAATATCAAAATCCATAGATAATTGTCAGAAGTAAAGAGTCAGATAAAGTTGGAGAAAAGTGATAACATTTTAATTCATATTCAGTATGAATCACATGTAGATTTTAATGAAAAACACCAGAATGCTTAAATTGTGAGTTACAACATTTAACCACAGATCCTTTGATGTGCTAATTAGGAGATGATCTGCAGAACTTCAAAGTGGCATCAATAGCTTATTTCTGGTCATAATGGCATCTAAAAGGAACTTACGAAACTTTGAAATCCCCCTCAGAGTTTTTTTCTGTCCTGGTCAGGCACTTATAGAAGAAACTGCTAAAAATGTGTGTACGGTCAGCAAGATGTTTTGGCACCTTCTCCAACAACAGGTATCTACCAAAGCAGAAAGAAAGAAATTATTAAATTCCTTTTCTATAAAGTACCATTACTGGTAAAAAAGAAGGACAATTATTTTAATGGCTTATCATACTCAGGTTGTGCTTACTATCAGTTGCCTTCACAGCCACTAATCACAACAAACTTTTCTCTCTACTCTATTTTCAATATGCACATGGGTAGACATCATCAGAGTATGTAGCAGCCAAGCAACTTGTAGGAATGCAGTTATTTTTGATCTCAGATTTCTCCTCCAGTATTAATGCTTCTGAATTTATTTTTCGAGTTAGGTTTCTAGCCCTCACAATTAAGACAGGCTTGAAAACCTAACCAAATATAAGCCTATGCTACAAAAAAGCATAGAACAGTTCAGTACTATAAATTGTCAATTTTACTTCTACAGGTTATGCACATGAAAGTTAAGGCAAATATTCTACAGATACTAATTCAGTACAATTTTACTGTTGACCATTGTACTGTAAACATCAGCTTGAGTGTTTATTTGGTCATCCTACAAGGCCAAAGCTCTCAAAATTGCAGTCATCCTACACAAGATGCCTCCAGCTTCACCCAGTGATTTGGGAAACACGGTCATACATGACACAGCTTGCAACACAATGAAAACTGAGAACACGGGAAGTGTAACAAAATCTAAAAAGCAGAGGGGTTTCTGCAATTACTGCATTAAATTCCTTTATCCAAAGCTTCAATTTTTGGTGAGATAAAGCTACAGCTATTGAGAGGATCATGCTCATTTATTTCTAGTTGAGAGCAAAACACAGGTCACTTTGCTGTTAAATCACATTGAAACATTCTGGTACATGTTTCCTTTCCCACTCCTCTAGACAAGAAGTTTTAAATGGCTTCCTATCGCTCACAGTTACTGCAGCCATGCTGATACCAAGCAAAATCGAATTCTCACAGACAGCCTTCAGAAGAGACAGACTTCTGCTGATGTTTAAGTCAGCACAGGGACAACAAACCTCAGCTTGAGGGAATGGTGGCCCACAATGCTGGTTCTGGAAAACTTGCTTTCACAAGCAACTTGAGCAGGATGGCATGAAGCAGGTAAGCCAAGCACAACTTCCTTAAGAAGTATTAGCTGTGTTCCTTTCTGCAGGAGCTCTGCATCAGAAGTAGTCCTGAACCCTTGCACAGAATAGCAGAGGATGCTCCACCTCATACAAACTTAGTAACTACCTAGTACAGACCCTCTGCTTTGTTCAACTGCCTGCTTAAAACTAGTCAGCGCCTTCTGTTCTGTGAGGTCACCAAGAGTCTTTTTTCCCCCAACTATTCTGTCTGGATTGTATCATAGTCCTTTAGAGGGACAAGAAGAATGAAACTGAAACAAATTTAAGTGCTGAGAATACACAAAAGCTTCAAAAAAAGTTAAATTGTTGGATCATATGTAGTGACCAACATTTACAGTAACATTCAAGTCCAGAGCAGGTCCCAGAAAGAAGGGTACAATGAAGGTTGTGATTACTTACTTAAGATAGAAATCAATGATTACATCATTGAGAAACTCTCCATATTCTAGGCACTCTAGGTCTTCTCTTGTGACTCCCAGTCCTCCTTTTGCGGGTGGGGGTGGATAAACAATTAAACTAGAAAACACAAATCATGTTGTAACAGCGACAAACTGTGTTTTACATGACATTCATCTTAGTATGGCAGTTCCACATGTAGAAGAATTTCTAGAACACCTGTTAAAAGTGGTAGTTCTCAAAACTGTTGACTAACTCATTTACCATAGGTAGGTACCATAAGACTGGTAAAAAGTTATTTACCATTTCTTCCTCCAGTACTTAAGTGTTACAAAAGAAATATGCACCCCACCCACTGCACACTGAAATTTTGATCAAACTTTTGAAAAGGAGATTATTTTTTACTCTCATCTTGTTTTTCTATTTTTAATAAAAGTAATTGACAAATGGCTATATAAAAAGGACAAAAAAACTAGGGGACATATTCTCAAATGGTATGAATGAACAGTGAATTTCTATTCATTAAAACTCCAATAACAACTCCCACATTTCCAAGTGGGAAACTTGGGTTTACGCACCATGCAGCATACGTAATCTATGTGGCTTGAAACTGCCTAAGTTACTTCTAACACTGGTATTTAAAAAGCTCTAGATTAACAACCATCCTACTTAACTGGAACCACGAGCTGACCATTTTTGCTGTTGCAGAAACAAAACCAACTGCTACACTGTCAGTAAAAACAATGACAGCAAAAGACAAGAGTTCTTAAGAGCAATATACTTCACTACTGTTTGCTGTACTGGAAGAATGAGGAGTAACAGGCACTCACAGAGGCCATGATGCACAAACCCTATCCCCCCCATCAATGCATCCATGATATGAGCTTGTAATCACAATTCAGGTATTCTCTAAGTTCTGTGAGATTTTCTGTCATCCTTTAACACATCCATTTTGTCTATTAACTATTAGGATGGAAAGAGGAACAACTACACTCTGGTGACATTTTGGATTTCTTCACACAACACTGTTGAAGCAAGTACAGAATGCTTTTATTCCAACAATTTGTTTACTCAGTTTATTTTCTCCTTCTCATTTACATGAAATATACTTACTTGTCAACTGCTCCAGTTTCTCTTACTTCTTTCCACTCTTCATTCAGCGCAGAGGACAGAGAGATAGAATAGCAACCACTGTTCTGCCTATTTGCAAGGGCATAACTGGGCCTAGCCACTTTTGGTTTTGATACCTAACAGAAAAAATCCAAAAAATAATAATAGCAAAAAGCACTACACAATTTGATATGTTAAACAGAACACACAAAAACTAAGCCTGAAGCCCACAGGAGTACCCTGCATTATTGAAGAGGAATCTTGCTGGAGAGCAGAAGTGTAAACATCAGTATTTAGGCAAATGTGACACTGCTCAGACAATAAAAAAGTTATGTCCCTTTTAAAATGATGGCAGGTCTTCATCTGTTCATATCTCTCTCTAAAACTGTTTAAGTATTATTCAACCAACTGTTGCAGAATCTGTTTTGGAGCAGAAACAAGACCTGAAAGAATGGAGACAAGTATCAGACTGTCTTACTAGGAGTTGTGTATGCTTAGAAGGTTTGAAAATCTAGTTCTTAACAGTTTCCCTAAAAATAATACAGATTTGAACTGGCTGGCTCAATTTTTAAGTTCATAGTTTCGTAGCCAGATTGATCAGTTGTCTCTGTTCTGATGGAAACAAACATAATAATTTCTGAAGTGACAACGATTTGGGGTTGGGTTGAGACATTTATTCCTCAGAGGGAGGTATATTAACTTGCACGGCCCCATCTCCCCAGCAAGCAGCCTTTGGAATCATTTAGCACTTCAAGCTGTAGAGCCCTCACAAGAATGTGTTGAGATGTCTGGAATGAGCAAGATACACAGCTCCTCCTCTGCTGCACCCCTTGATTTCCAGATCAAGCGAAAAATGGGTCCATCACTCATTACTTGATTAACTCCCAACTTGCTGTCCTGGAGACATCACAAGGGCAGGAAATCCCTGAGTTTCAAGGCACACACAACCATAAGTGAACCTAAAGCTTCAGTATTTTCCACTTACTAATGAGGTCTATACACCATCCTTCCACAGACACAATCTAGTTTACTGCAACCCTTGCCCTACTGTGAGAGAGAAATAACAAACATGACCATTTTTTTTTTTTTTGAGCTATGGATCAAGAAAGAACTTATTTTCTGCACCTGGTTGATCTAAAATTTACTTAACATATGAATGCCAACAGGTGGTGATGAATCCAGCAACAGCTACTCACTAACCTGAACTGTAGGCTCATGAGCATCTGAGGTATTCTCTTTTGGCATACATTGCTTTAGAAGATCCTTACTGTAACTCATAAAAGAGCTCTCTTCAGGAGAAAGGTCCATAAGTAACGGTAATGCTTGCTTCAAAGACAAAAACTCAGGGAGATCTGGTGCTCTGTTCTTCTTGCTCACTTCTGTAATCAGTTCATTCAGTCTCTGTTCTTCCCCTTCTGTGAGTGGTTGGGACAGTTCAAGAAATACAAATTCACTAGATTTGGCTGGACAAAAGGAGAAAATGGATAGTATTAACTATTATGTTATTTGACAAGAACTTGTCTGCATACCCACAGAGGAGCACAGAGAGACACTGGCAGGAGGTAGAGCCCAAATAATACCCTGCCAGGTCCATCACAGGGATCACCAGCCCACCTCCACAAGCCCAGAGGAGCACAGGGGCACAATGGCAGGCCTGGACCTGAATTAAGGGCTGGGAGGAAGGGACACCCAGTCTGGGCCCTTCCCAGGGCTGTCCCAGGAGAGCCTCAGCCCCAGGGTCCAGACCTGAAACCTGTCAAGATGAGTCAACGCCAGAGCACCTTTTGGACTGAGGGGGGGTTGCTGCTGAGTTGTACAGCACACATGATGGGATGCAGGGGAAGAGCATTGGGGATTGTGTAGGACTTATTATGGGATGCTTGCTAAGGGAAGAAGCACAGGCAGGCAAATGAATCACAGAATCAGAGAATGTTAGAGATTGGAAGGGACCTCGAAAGATCATCTAGTCCAATCCCCCTGCCGGAGCAGGACACCTAGATCAGATCACACAGGAACGCACCCAGGCGGGCTTTGAATGTCTCCAGAGAAGGAGACTCTACACCCTCTCTGGGCAGCCTGTTCCAGTGCTCTGTCACCCTCACCGTGAAGAAGTTTTCTCTCATATTCAGGTGGAACCTCCTATATTCCACTGTCTGTATCTATGTCTGTCTGTGTGTGTGTCTGTCTGTGTGTGCGTCTCTGTGTGTCTGTCTGTGTGTGTCCGTGTGTCTGTGTATTTCTGTTTTCTCACAAGTGGGCCTCCATCCTGCTCAGCCACAGAGGGGAGCAGGATGAGGCTGTTGGTGCTGTCTGTGTTCGTATGAGTGCTGTGTGCCTGTGTTATCTATGTGGCCAGCTATGTATATATGTGGTGTACATGTGTTCTCTGTGTGCTCTACCTATCAGGACATCTTCAGCCCTGCTACTGGTTGGACCTGGGAACATGGAGTTGCAGCAGCCTCACCCCTCTCAGGCTGTCAGCTCTGGCGTGATATATTTTCCTGTAATATTAACACACTAAGAAGGCAGAGCAGAATCATAGCAACCATTTCCACAATCTGTAAAACCACCACTGGTTTGTTTCAACAAGTCTCTACTTACATTTCAAAATATTTACATTACTACATATTTAAAAGGCATAAAACATTCAAGCATAGAAATTTAATAACAACACCTGAACGTTTCTCCTACAATAATAATATAATCAAGTCAAGTAAACTTAAGATTAAAAAGTGCCTCACAGGTGCATACTCAGATTCCACCCATTTCACTGAGAGCTGTGTCTGTAGAAGTTACCAGTAACTTTGACAAACTTAGATCAAGTAAGTCTGCTAAAATTTCACTCAGTATCTCACTTCAAACTACTCATGCTTCTTAAAGTTAACATTACGTACAATTTTTCATACAGGTGGTGATTGTAGAGGGTAAGCAGACTGTTAAATTTCATGTAGGCAACTCTGACATCACCATTTTGGTAGATGTCATTTTGCAATGGTTTTGCTAATGTAAAAACCCAGTGCCACTCTGAATATCTGAGCAAATGTTACACTCAGTTTCACGGAGCTTCATGCTAGAAAAACAAACAGAGCCAGTCCATGAGCCTCTACAGACTAAATAGCCCATTTGGCATTTAGTGGAAATTTTCTCCAATAATAATGCAATGGCCCAATGCAGCCTTGTCAAAGATCAAATCAACCTTTATCTGCCAAGCCTTTTGTCTAGCATATACATTACTCAAGAGTAAGAACACTTAAAATGACCCACCTTTTTTAAAGGGAGAAATACTTATACACACACCTAGTTTCAGAAGGCCTCCTCACACAGATTACAACTGGACTGTGTTACAAGGTGTTTTTATTAAGTAGCAGTGGTTTTGAATCACATTCGGTTATGTTTTCCTTCCAAATACAAGTATAGTGAGGCATTTTAGAAAAGCCAAACTGACCAAATTAACTTTAAAAAGCTACAGGCTTTCTTCAATATTTCAGAAGCACAACTATAAAATAACCACTTTATTGACATGTCATATATGAGACATTTTCATTGCATTTAAGGAAAGTGATTACTCACATGGCTTGCTGATAACTAACTTTCCTAATTGCGTTTCAACCTTTTCTACATAATCCACAGACAACCAAAGGAAAATTATAATTTTTGAAGAACAGTCACCATCACTTCTCCACAAGCCAAACCTTCTCAGATCCAGAGTATCCACTGTCAGGTTAATATTCTTGTTAAGAGCCACTGCAGAAAATAGAATTTAAAATAACCATATCTTTCATAGCCATGGATAATTGTAAAGTCATAGAGTAATTACATACTAAGACATAAGTATGACTAGAGTTTTTGTTAAAACAGTACTTGTATATTTTATTCCTGGCATTACATAAAGCGTGTTGATAATTTAATACTTAAATCAGTTATATCAAACTATGTAAAACAAAGTTACTAAATTGTAACACCACAAGTTAAACATCTAAATGCAGGATTCTTCATGAAAAAAAACTATTTTTGCTCAGAATAACCACAGTCAATACCCTCAAATATAGAAAAAAAATATTGCAAATCACTAACTCTTACTTGGTTTTAGTCAATTCAATTCAGAACTGCTCATAAACCTCCTGCGAGACACAGAAACCACATATGTTTGAAAAAACGGACTGAATGCAAATCTACAGTTATATTCCTCTTAGCTTCAGTCAACTCACACATTTTTATTTAATAAACCTAAGAGTCTAAAATCCCAATCTGAAAAGATGAATGTTTCACCTCAAAAACAGGCAAAGCATATTTACTATAGTTCAACACTTAATATAAGCAGGAAAGTGTGAGGCAAGGCTATTAAAACTACAAGTTCACCTTAAAAGTGTAAGAAGCTGATAAGTTATTAATGCTTACACTAGAGACACTAATACTTTTATTTACTGAAAAACGTAAATTTTAAAAAATTATTTAATATCTTTGTGAAAGCAAATAAGATTATAAATTATTCATAATGTAATGTATACTGTGTATTTTAATGCAATACTTCAAAGATATAGTTAAGAGAAGGCTAAAGAAAAAAATTCTCTTACCCTGAAATGGGATCATAATATACTTGGTTGTAAACTGAAATAAGATTAAAAAAATATAAATTAGTTTGCTTTTTACAAATTGATTATAACAAAGTAAGAATTTTTAATTATCTGTACATCTTTCTTTGCTTATAGCCAAATAAACTGAAAATAATACCACAGAATCATTTAAGTTGGAAAAGACCCTTAAGATCATTGAGTCCAACTGTTAACCTAACACTACCAAGTCTCGTATGCCTGGTTTGAGACTTAATATTGCCTATTTCATCTAAAAAAACACTCCTAAAAAGAGATTGCAGAATCTAAATGACAGCAAGGTGATTTCCAGAGGTGCTCAGCACTGAGAAATAAGCAGAAAGTTGCAAAGCTACCTACAGACTCCTTAAAAAGAAACAAAATTATGAACACTTGGGACAAAAGGAGCTTAAGCACTCCATGATAAAGACTGTCAGCTGCATTATTTGAATTAAGGACACTACAAATGGACCAATACTGGGGTGTTACTTTGCTATTTATCTTAACTTTTGAATTAAAGGTCTTTAAAGTATCCACTTATACTGCTGCTATGTTAAAGACTTGGTAAAATGCATTATCATCACTTCAACAGAGAGCTGTCATATACACTGAGAGAAGAGGTTTCTCTGACATTACCACAGTAAGCACAAAGAACAAAGTTCTTTTTCCAAGGAAAATTTTCACTTTCCACCTAAAAGTATTGATTCTAAAAATATTTCAACTCATCCCTGAAATGATCTTGGTATATTAATTTAGGAAATTTTAACGAAATGTTTTCTACTGCATGAGAACTGCTGCACAAAACTGCTGTTTTGTGAAAAGATGAAATTATTATTACAATCCAAGATTTCAAAATGTCTTCCTGTAAGCAAAAATATACATATATATGTTCAAACATTTATTTTTCAACTGCAATATATAGAAGGAGCATAGTCAAAGTCCTGTTGAAACTCCTGCAGCTGATACTCCATTTGAAGTACACCTTTACTTATATTTCTACAACCTGTGAGTAGCATGTTGCCTATTTTTTAATGCTCTTTAAAGCTACAAAATAAGCAATCTTCTGTTTAAAAGGCAAGATAAACGCATAGTAGATAGGTGAACTCTGATCACTATGGATTATTTTATTCTCATGTCTGTACTATTTCAGAAAAAAGAAACTGGTGTGCATGTCAAGTGACATTAACTCTAACGTGGCCATTATTTTTCATTTGAACTCATGAAAAGCTTCCTCAGTGTGATTTCTGTGCCAGTACAGCATTTATACGAAACCTTCACCTCTGAAAATTGGGACCACAGAAAATCCCTGTTAGTTTTTCTACTGACAGCAATCCAAGCATACAAGGTAATAGACTACACACTCCATTGTTTCGACAAAGCAATTTCATGCAACAATAATCAAAATTCAGTGCTTCTACGTTAAGTTCCACTAGCCTTGCTTAACCAGAATTTTAATTTTTAAATATTCTCAAAACATCACCATAACAGATCAACTTACCCTAGCAGGACCTGTTGATAACCATTTATATTTCCCAATGTATAGACTACCAAATTCAACGTTCAGTGCTGGGTTCATCTGTTTTCTAGGTGTGCTTCCAGAAGGTAAGCTGATAGGACACTTATCATCAATCGACTCTGTTAAAAACTGGAAAAATAGTAAATTTACTACAAGACTTTACATAAGATACTTCCTTCCTGTAACCTTAGGAATATTCTCTTTACGTTTGCAAGAATTTACTCCCAAAGCCAACTTCCATACAGAAATTCCACATAAAACAGCTGTAAATGTTATCACAATCATTACTGACAATGTTCTTAAGGGCCTTAACAGTATCTCATTCCACCTCTAAAGTTCCCAAGACAGAACCTGTGCTCTTTACTACTCTAGAGGCAAGTAAAAACTCAAACAACAGAGCAATAAAAAATACCCCCTTTTGATATCAAAGGTACAAGACACAGGCTTATGCTCAAAACAATGCATCTGTGAGAAGAGGCAGCAACGACTCTTCTGACTTGTTTCAGAATTACACTGATGACCCAAATCCAGGTCAAAGTAAGCAGCACAAGGCTAATCAAGCCCAAAATGGGACAACAGCCTTTCTGGATAGTTTAGATTCAAATTCCACTGCTAGCCACACAGGAAACGGAACTTTACCCTCTCTGTCTGCTGTCAACAAAGATCCTTGAACTTCTCTATGCACTGAATTGCAACAGATGACTGGATGAGGATGACAAGAAACTATTGACTTGAACTACGATCAATATAAAACATTGTGTGAAAAAAACTCTTTCACAGACAGACCTTCATCATGTCTATCTCTAGCTCAGATTATTATTTGATCCTTCCTGTTTTGTAATATTAAACATTTCCAAATGTTTATTTTCAAAATATTAAATATATTGTATGCTGCAAAAACACTCAAGCTTCAGAGCCAGCGATCTTCTTCTAAGACTGTCCAGAATTCTATCTGTGAAATAAATTACCACAGGTACTGCTTGTTCCTGGTACTAATCATATCTGCTCTTAGCACTTCACTTTTGTCCAAACATGCAAGAAAAATTAAACACTGTAGAAATAAATTAAAGGGTTGGCATAACAATACATAGGCCAAAAACTGGACTACCTGGTCTGTGTGACTTTCCATCTTGTCTTTCATTTGCTCTGCTGAGAAACAGAAGTCAGATTGTTGGTCTGTTTCTTTATTGCCAGTGATATCCTCCAGCAGCTCTGTGCATTTGGATTCAGAAGGTCCATCTTCATCATCGCTGGAAAGGATAACTAAACAGGAAAAAAGTACACATATACTACAAGATGCAGACTTGAGAATATTTCATTCATTGTGGATTTCAGAGGAGCAAAGAATTCTCTCTTCCAGTATGCAATAACAAAGTACATTGCCCAAACCAGTCAAGGTCTACATGCATGAAAGTACATGTAATAAAGATACAAAGCAGTACTTGTTAACACTTTTTAAGCAAGATGTTCAAAATTATTTGACTATTAAAAGAAAACAGGCCACAACATAGCTGCTTCAAAGAAGAGAGAATATTTTTCCTCAATTTAGGCATCTTTAAAAAGTACAGGCTTGATCTTCGATAGCCACAAAATCAGCTGCAAAGTAAGGACTGGAATTTGAAAATCCCGTCATCTTTCCTGTTTCTTAAGTACAAGACCCTCTACATTCCAGTGTAGGACAGTAGAGGACACTAGCACTACACACTGTTCTCTAACCAGCACGATGCATTACAAACAACATGATCTCTGTCTTCAATCTTTTGTTCCACATATTTCAACTAGTCAGTCATGTATGAATTCTCCTAGTACCTAAGCATACCAATCGTAATTGTCAGCAGCACAGATACAGTACATACTTGTGTCAACTGAAACAAGTTGTCCATTACCCCTGCAGATTCTGTTCCGCAGCTTGATCAGGTACTGTGATGGGTCCATCTTTAATTTCCTGATGGTACTAACTTGTGGTGAAAACATGTCCTCACTGCTGGCAGAAAGCTGTTTCTCTGACAAATTTATGGGAGGAGACTCTGAGCCCGGTTCCTCCGTGCAGCTGGGAGCAGCCCTTAAGTGGTTGTTGGCAGAAGTGTCTTTATAGTGTTTCTCTAATGGCTGGGGAATACAATCTGGCACCAGAATTATGTTAGATCTGCGACCTTGTCCATCTTCACAGGGTGTTCTGCGGCCAGGAGACTGAGCTGAACTCAATCTCTGCTCTTTCTAGAAAACAGGAATCAGAGACAGGGTATATGTTTATTCCTTAACATTTCTATGATGGTTCAGATCAGTGATCACTAAGACTTAGCTATGAGCTAGACAAAATAATTACAGCTTAATGCAGCTGCATTTATTGCTCAAGTCAGGGTAATTTCTCCCTCCTCATATTCCAAAGGTGATTAGATAATGGGATGAGGGACACCCTTTTAAAAGTCTACTATGACCTCCATTCAAACTGAACAAGAAACTATTTCTGATTTTTTAGCAACACTCTCACTGTCTGACACTGAAAGACCAAGCACCAGTGATATTCATTACTTTGCAAATGTGTGGCTTCGTCAAGTGGGTGAACAAGACTCGCAACTACCTACTTTTGTGGTGTTTTAATCAGGTTACAGAGATGCCTTTGTTGTACATAAATGCTTGATTACAAAGCACAGTTTGTAGTTGACTGACTGATTCCCTTAGTCTTTACTGAAGTCCCTAATTAGTGCTATACAATCTGTGAAAGAAGCTTCACTTAACAGCTAGATTCCTTACTTCTGAAACTGCTCTGCTCCATGCTCCTGTCCGAAGGAAACACTGTCATTCACTTCTCACAACTTTTCTGCTACAACAGGCATATTCTGATGTTGTGGACAGAAGCACAAATACTCACTCTTCTTGAGGCACCACTGAACTACTTTTCTTCAGCAGGTATAACAGTGTCCCCAGATACCCTACTTATTAGTAGAATTCTTTTATTTTGGATGTTTCTAATGCTGCTACTGAAGTGCACATACATGTTTGTACACAAACACATACATTACAATTAAGGGCAACTTACAGACAGCAGACGTGATTTTTCTGGAATGTGTGCATTACAATCATCAGAAATAAGGCCACTAGATCTTCTTTTCCTTTTCTGAGACTCAAGAGAGTGTGATTCCTTCTGACTAAGAGTGGTGCTGTTCATGTTTCTGCTCTTCTTTTCCAGTTCATCATAGTTCTTGTTTTCTGCGTCCGGAAAAAAAAATAGAAGTTATTTCACGGGTTATCCTTAAAAACCTTTGTACTTCTTCATATCCACAATACTTCTTTGTTTTTTTTTTTATTGTGTGTAGATGCCAGAATATACTCCCTAAAAATAATTAAGATTATTTTTGCACAATTAGTTAAGATAAGGGTATAACCAAATTCATAGCTTACTTCCAAGTAAGAATTAGCACTCTGTACTCCACAGTCTTTCTTTTATGTGCTGCTAGATGCAATATTCTCCATTTCCTGTTCTAATCTGCAAATATTACTAACCAGTATTAAAAAGATAGTACATTCTCTCTGGAGACTCAGCATAGAGCTCATCAATTTTCAGCAGTAAATACAAATATTGTCATATAATAGAAACATTTTAGCAGCGTTCACAAATCATTTGAGCATTCTTAATGTATTACATTCTTGAGTATAAAAGACTTTTTATAAAATCAGGATCACAATGGTGCAGTAAGGCTTCTCTCAGTTTCCTTTTTTCACACAGATCTGATTCACCATAGCTTTATTCCTATTTAAAAACAGTTATTTGATATATTTTACCCTATCTGTAAAAAAATGCATTTTGAAGAAACATATATACTGCATGCAACGCATATTTTGTTTCTGTGCTCTCCTGATAATACTAGATTAAAAAAAAGAAAATCTCCCAGCACTCTCCAAAATCCATATTTAGATGCCGGATTATTGGTCACTACAAACCTTTCTTCTGCAGCTCCCGTCTTCTAAAAGCGAAGACCTTTTTTTTTCCTGGTTCCTTAGAAGCCTTGGTCAATTTACACAGATCATCATCTGTCTTTCTCAGGCAATCCTCAGACCTGTAGAGAATATTAATTATGATTTATCTTTAATTTTGAAAGAATACTGAATGAAAATTCCAACAGAAACAAGAGTTGGTTAGACCACAAACTTCTGCCTCTCTCATAAGCATGGGGAGCTTGGCAAATGAAACACAAATGAATTCAGTTCCCATTATCAAAATACACAGATATTCTGACATTATTAATGAAATGGATGCTTCTATAAAAGGCACACAGAATGAAAATCTGACACGCTTGACATCAGGCACTGAAATAGTATTTTGCTGTAAAGCATGACTGCAACAAGAACACGTAACAAGAAAAAAAAGAGAGTACAACAGTCAGCTGAGTGTATCCTTGCCTTTGTCATGAATGTAGTAGGAATGAGGCAATGTAGTATATTTTTGATTTAGATTTAGAATGGCTAATAGAATCCACTGAGTAAGTTCCTGCAACGAGAAAAGATTTGAAATAGGAATTCCTGCTCAAAAGGGCTTGAAACAGTAACTTTGAAGGAGGTGGGGGTGACAGGACATGTGAATGAGGAAGAGACAGAATAGAAACAGAAAACAATTACAGTATGAGAAACTAGGCAACCTACAGGTGTTCAGCTGAGTTTGTGGTTTCATTCTAAAAAGAAGGACATGGAAGGGGTTTTATTTTATTAGCTTTTTTATAAATAGGAGAATTTATTCAGGAGGTACTGACAGACTAACCAGTATGATATCCTCACATCTGAGGTCTGATCTTGTAAACATACTCTCAACTTCCCTGGGGGCTAGTTACAGCTGACAAAAGTCTACATAACTGTATTTTAGTTTCTAGTGTATGCATTTAGTTATTTGTCATAGGAACTTAATTACATTCAGTACACAAGACTTCCCTTCTGAAAATTTATCAGGGTTACAAGATAAAAGAAACTAACCTTCATGACCTCTGCTTCATTTTCTGAGAGAGTTGGAAAACAAAAAAGAAAATCAAGATTTCACAGATAACACAATTCAATGCTGCTCTGGAAAATCTGTTCCATTCCTCCTTTTGTCACCGCACTTAATCAAAAGTGATTTTGTTGTCATTGTTTTATTATGTGCCTAACTCAGAATGTTTCAGTTTCCAATTTGCAAAGAGATAAGCAATTATAATAATGACTGAAATCACTGAAAGCTGAGACTGGACCTGTAAAGAACATCATCAAGCATGGGAAAGAACATTCCTACATCTCTAACTAGATAGCCAAAACTGTCAGATGCTTTCTAAACAGATGCCTACTCTTCAGTGCCATATCTGTAGACTGGAGTATTGTTGCTCTTTGGGAAGACTGTAAAGACAAATAAAGATTTCCAGAGTGCTCTGATACTGCAGTGATGAACAGTATATAAGCACCATGAAGAAATTACTGCTTATCTTTCCATTCACTAAGAATCATGAATTATACCATACACAAAAAAGTGTTTGGCAAGCACTATTATTCATTCTGTATATTGACCAAGACAGAGTCTCCCACAGATTGAGCAGCTCTAGTCCTGGAATAACCTCACTACAGAAAACTTGACTGTGGAACCCACATCTCTCTCTCAAATATTTGTATGTATAACAGCTATATAGATCTGACTGCTTTAAAAGACCATACAAAACCACCAAGTGTTTTTTAGCATTTTTTTCACATCAACATCACAATCAGGCTTTTCAGCAATAGGAAACATGTCAATAGGAATGTTTCAGCTTAGAGACTTCCCTAAACATATTTACTCGGTACACCAATTCTGCACATTTTATTTTCACTTCCAGTCTTCACTGATAACTCATTTAAAACGCACCTCTTAACAAATATATGCATAACCTAAGAAGCAGTGTACACTGAAGTGTTCTCAACAGCCACAAGAAAACAAGCCAGAAACACTTTAAAACCCCAAGTTTCTTTACATTTAAAACCTACCTCAAATTCACTAGTTATACTGATAGGTCAGTGGTGACTTAAGCAAATGCATTTCACACTGGGTTGCAGTGAACAAGCAATGCAAAATCCACCAATTCTGCAATACCAAAAGCAAGAAATGAAACAGGGAACTCACAGCAAGTCCTAGCTGATAAAGAAAGGTTAACTTATTACCATCCTGCTCTGCTCACACACAATTCTTTGACTTAACCTGAAATTTCTATTGTACAAAACTGGCATTCTAGCTGCCCTGACAATACAAAAGAATCTCTATATGGCTGTGTGCATACATATGCATAACCATTGTAAGGGAGGAGCTTTTACTCTCCTCTGAAAGAAGGGACGCCAAAAGAATCAGTGCCAAGTCTATCTTATTCACAGACTTTACTTACGGACAGGTGACCAGGATCAAACCATGGCTTTGTTGAAATAATTCCTAAATTTTCCATTTCCCATGTCATATCTATTACAACTTGCACTAACCTGCTGGTCACTGGGGAGGGGTGGAAAATCCTCCTAATGTAGGTTCCTGCTAATAACAAGCTTTTTACTTAATACATTAAAAAAGCATATCATGGGAATGGAATACTAATCCTTCAACCAATGAGCCACTCCAAGTCTAAAACAAGTTGAGTACACCAACTACTAACAAAACCGACTAGTTCAAACCATTCTTGTGCTTAACATAAAACTCAAGTCACCCTTCAGATATGAGCCTGATAAACTATGCAAGATGTTTCCTCAGATTTAGAGAGTTATACACAAGAGTTCATGTCTTCCTCTCTATGAACCCACTACCTCCCATGATCCAAAACAATACCAAGTGAAAAAACTGGATACTAAAAATTATAGATCTTAAAGATTTTGTAGCAAAACAAACAAAAAAACCCAATCCAACAATCCAAACAAACTCCCCACACTTTAGTCAGCCTAAAGTTATGGAAAACTGTTTATTAGCAACAAATGTAATACTTCTAAAATAAGACAGTCTAATAAACTGTTCTAAATCCCTCATTCAAATTGTAGTTTTGTCAGATTATTTTAAGCACCAACAGAAAAACAGAAAGGAATTCTTAATAATTTAGGCTGTATAAGACGTTAATGTATCAGAATGAGGAATAAGACTTATTTTTCTCAAGAATTTTTAAGATTTCTTTAACCTGGGAACTGGTGATTATTCCTGTCCTCACAAATCATTCTTCTCTTCCTTCCTCTTTTTATTCTCTTCCCCCATTTTTTTTACTATTTGTTCCTGTGGATACTTTGCTGTTGAGCAAAGAAGTGGCCATAAAAGACAAGAGGAAACAGCTTACTCTGAATTTAACTGCCATCTTAAATGAAAAAAAAAGTTATATAATTCTAATATCTGATTTCTTCTAATTTCATATGTCAAGTATTTCTGTAATGCTCAGTCAACCCAAACATAGGAAGAAAAGAGAAAAAGTAGATGTTAAGCAATGAGAGGACACACACAACCCTTAAACAATGACACTCTGTTGGGATTGAAACCACTGGTGGATTAATGTGAAAAGAAACATTCTATCACAGAGAGGAATTTGGAGAAATTTTACAAAAGAAGTTGAAATCATGCTAGAACACACTAACAGCAACAGGAAAGCAAGATTTTGGTTCTGGACACAAACCCAACTTGAATGTGTTTCAATTACTTAGCCATCTTCACAAATCAAAACACTGATCTATGACAAATGGAAATTCCTTCTATGAAAGAAAAGTAGCCTATTAACATCAGTTACAGCAAATCAAAATGCAATGTTAAAATGGCTCATTGGAGCAGCATGTTAGTTTGCACTCAGAAAATTGATCTCCTGCTTCAAGACAAGAGTATAACGAAAATTTTCAGGGAAATTATTTTCCATTGTGAAGTTATGTCATTTCAGGAAGACTGGTAAAATCAGCAGTGAGTAACATACCTTTCAGACAGAAAAGAACTTTCATGAGTAGAACTTAATATTTGATATGTCTGTAGGCTGGCAACAGATGACGAGGGTAGTTGACCCCATTGTAATTTGTCAGCATCAGATAAATTTACATCAATTATTACGTGGCTGTCTATGTATTTTCTTCCAATTTTCGTCCTCAGGACATTCGTCAAGATAACTTTGGGTTGCCTGCCACATATATAACAGTAAATCATAAATACTACACTGAAATCTAAAGAAAGAAACTTCTTGTTAAATTCGTGCATCTTAGAGGCTTGATAATCAAACATCATTACTTTCAGTCCCTTTGAGACAAAACAAAATCCCACCAAGGAACTTAAAACCCAAGGCAAGCACATAAACACAAAAAGGCAACAAAAGACTAGGGTAAGAAATGCTAGTCATATAATTTAATCTTAGATACAATTCACACAACATTGCCTCTAACACATCATCTAAGTACTTAAAAAACAGTAAATGTTCATCTCTAAATATCTTTCATACAGTATCTGTACACCTTTCTCAGAACTATGGAGCAAACAATCTTGATTTTCCTGTGAACAAGAAGCCTCCAGCAAAACAGACTGAATTTTTTCAAGCACTTAGTCAACAGCTAGAAAAGCAGCACACACATAAAAAGGTAGCATTAGATTTTGATCCCCTCCTCAACTTCCAGGCAGCATTCTACATAATATCAATAGCAAGGCTCAGAAAAACATCTGCAAGTGTTAGAAGAGACAAGTATCAAAAATAAGCTAAAGAGAAATATGAAGATGCAACTGCCCACTTGAGCACAGATGTGCAAGAGCAGCACAACTTATTTCATAATAATATAACTTATTTCATAATAATGCCACTGCAGCCAGCTTGTTGTACAGCCCGTGATTTACCCACTTTGCTTCTCAAACTGAGACGTAAATCCTACCACTTCCATTGCAATTTATTTTGTGTTAGGATGTAACGTTGTGACCTTTTTTGAATCTGTTATGAACAACATTGTCTCTTGGGTATCAAATGCATAATTCTGTTGTCTGTATTCACCCACAAAGCACACTTCAGGACAGACTGCATGATGTCTGGGGAGCACTCAGATCTTCTCTTGCACTGAGATGTATATTTGCTTTTAATCAGAAGAGTACCTTACAGACAAGATGCTGCAGAGGCACAGAGGTGACAAGCAATGAGGATGTGACTGAGAGGAAAAGTCTAATACAGGAGAACACTGTAATCCAGATGTAACCTCCAATAAAGGAAGTCCCTAACCTGTTTATCATCATCAGCTCAGAGAGAAAACTCAGTGAAAAAGCATTCACTCCAGCCATACTTTTCCCTGGGTGTCTACAACTGACCACTGTTGGGGGTGGGTGAGGAAGATACTGGACTAGATATGCTTTTCTTCTGACCCTTTGGCCAGTTCTCCTATTTTCATGTGTAGTCTGAAATGGTAACAGTGAAAATACACCTTGACACCTTCTCTGAGAAAAGAGGGCAGTTAAATGCAACTGTACTCTTATTTTCACAAGAAAAAAAAAAAAAAAAAAAAACCCAAACATTTTGAAAGTCCAATGGCTGAATCAGAATTAATTGGTCTTGTCAGTATGGGACCATCTAGAAGCCAGCTGATCAGAAAACCCACCACAGGGTGCCTGGCACCATCTCTCTCACTGATTATGAAAAGGAACTGGGTACAAGGGAATTCAGTCAAGTTAGATAACACAAAAATGAGAATGTATTTAATGAACAAGACAGATGTGGTACAACAAATAATATTTTGTTTAGTGACATGAGGTGAAGACAACATACCTTTTCGACAGAAAAAGGCTTTGGAGAGTAGGGTTTAAAATTTGCCATATCTTTAGGCTGGCAGCAGACGATGAGGGTGGTTGATCTGACTGCAGCTTGCCAGCATCAGAAAAATTAGCACCAGTTTTAGGTAGCACCTGTGTGTATTTTCTTCCTATTTCCGTCCTCAAGACATTCGTCAAGATAACTTTGGGTTGCCTGCCATACATACAATAATAAATTAATAATAGGGGGCTGAGAAATTCTTAAGTCACATGAATTCAACAAAGCTATCAGTTTACTGTTTCTGCATCACACCTTATACTTACAGTAGAATTAAGTTCATTTCCCTGACAATTTACAAAGGAGTTCTCTTTGAAGAAAAGGAATCACAAACATCTCTTGATCAAGACAGCCTTTCAAGGTTCCTTCTTCTGGCATCAATGACTAACTCATCCATATGTGATTCTGAATAAGCAAACTTTCAGTGCAGAAGCATGGAAATTTTGGTGCATCTTTTTATTGCAAAATGTCCAAAGTGGTGTCACTATGGTCTTACAAACTATTCCGAAAGCATACACCTGAGCATTTGTAGGATATGAAAATAAGCACTCATATTGTGGCATTTTATTTTAGAACCATTAATATTATTGGTTCCTGTATCACAGATTAGATTATGATCTTGCTGGAGGAAAAAAAAAAAAAAGAAAAAAAAGGAGAGAAGGTAGTACAATCTCTCAGTTTTGAAGCTTCAACTGATTTCTATTCACTTTCACTTAGGAAATGACACACAATTATGAATTACAAAGTTAGTAAAAACTCCCTATTGAAGTTCTTTAAACAAGTATCTATACTTTGCTGATTCTGCTAGATTGGTACTGAAGTCTTCACATAAAGAATTAATTCTGCAGCATGGCCAGTAACTTGGACAGTTTCCTGATAAGCTGATAAGCATTATACATCATAGATGATTTGTCAGGATTTACTTTATTTTCAAACAGATGAGAATTGGACTTGCTTTCCCAGAGCTGGTCCTAAGAGGACACTGAAGTTCAGGCTCATTTGTTGGTTTTAAAAGATTACTGAGCCAAGAACCGCTTTTTTCTATTGCACGTCTTGCATAGCAAACTAAATTGTTCACATCCTAGAGCACGAATCCTTCTTTTATAGCTGCAGAAAACATTTTACTCCTCACATAGCTGTTACATGCATGCAACAGTGACATTTCTTAAGAAAATGGCTGCTATTCCTCAGTGGGTTGACAACTGTGCAAACAACTTTTAGGAAATTATAGCTGTTCCACTGATATGCTGCATTCAGCTCAACAGCATGGTTACATGGTACCTAGTGGTAAACAAATATAAGTATGGTATGAAAACTGCTAAAGAAGAGACAATACTTGAACCTAAAAAAAGAATTGCCATGCTAGTGAAACACACTGAACTTGGGGAAGATGTTTCACATAATCTTTATATTTTACTCCTTCAGTAGTTGCTTCATGTTGAGAGTTCTTTTCCCTGTTTACTTACCATATTAACAAGACACAGGACCCCTCACTGAACTTGAGGACAGTAAGGTTCCTACACACAGCTTAGAGAACCTGCATACAAGCTATGAACACTGGTCAGTCTGATGAGATCTCTGCATCACTGAATGCCATAATGCATATGCAATGAGCTGCTTTCTCTTAGAGTTGTGCCATATATTTCCTAGACCAGTAGTCTCCAAACGTTTGTTGATCATGCACCCCATCAGTAGCAGTATTTTGAACATGTACCTTCAACATGCTTATTTAATTTATATAGATGTACTAATGTACTAATATTATGTACATTATAAAATACAGAAACAGAAATTTAAAAGGATGCAATGAAGAGGAAATATTTTATTTATTAATTGTACAAAAATATTTCCTTCCTGCACCCCAATGGCTTGTCTTGCACACACCACACCTTGGAGTTCACTATCTAGACAATGGACAATAAACTTAAATGGTTCCCATTCAAAGCTAAGTAACATAAGCTCAAGTGAAGGCAGTTTCCTCCACTCTCCAGGCTTCTCTTAGAAGTTTCCCAAAGAAAAACTAATTGGTGAAGAGCTAAAGCTTTGTCTCAAAAGAAAAAGTGCTGATGGATTAAAAAAATACTCCTAAGTTAAGGCACTTTGATGCCAAGAATCTGGACAGAGGAGAAAAAGTGCTACGTAAGGGATGGGTCCTGATTAGCTGTTGGAGAAAATCCAGGGTTTCTGAAGTGAGAGATTGACTCTGTGAAGGCAATGAGAAGTCATATGTACAAAGACAATCTCATTAGAAGACTGACCTAAACCACAGAAGTGCTCTAGAATGTTTTAGGCGGGGTCAGGAAATGGCAGGTACACATTTGTTCTTTTACCTAGACCCACGTATACTCTGTGACTACTAATACAAAGAACTGCTGTTTTTAAGAACCTACTACAGAGTCTCAGCATGTGCTTAGAATACTGTAGACCTACAAAAGGTTTGTTCTACACTCCAAGGACGCAGAGGCTGGAGTTTCATTTAAAGATATACTTTAACTACTGCAAAGCTTAGAAAGAAAATAGAGGTCATGAGAGACAGTTTAGTAACTGATGTCTTACGTGGTGGAGGCCAACTGTAGCAGCCTAGTGAGCGTACACCAAGCCTGCAAAGTGTTCTCAATTTAGCAAAGGAAGCAAGAGACTTATTTTCTGCAGAAGTCCCTGCTAAGTCAGAAGTTCTGGCTTTTTTCTGGTCTTCTCAAATGTTCAGAGTTGATATATTAACCATAGTTTAATATGGCAGAAGAGCTTACAGTAACCAGATTTATACATCATTTGTTGTTTGTCCAACTGTAAGGTATATTATAAGGAATATATAAGCAATATGTAAGGAAATAAAGAATAAAGAATATATACATTTAAGAAATGTGATAAAAATTCAAAATTCAGATACACAAGAACCTACTAGACTGTTAAGAAAATTTACAACTACTACAGCAGTTAAAGGCAATTTCAAGAAAAAAAGTCATCAAGTAACTCATGCAAATTAATCTTACAAAACTTGACACTTACTCTTGTGCTTTAATTTCCTCCTTAAAAATAAGGAAGACCCAAATTACTTTAGAGGTCCCATTACAAAATAACTGTATAGTAAGATATTTCATCTTTTGGGATGCCAGAAGAGATGAAGCAATGAAAGACTAAGGCAGATATTTCCCCTCTTCCTCTAACAGAACTTGAAATTACAAATCAAACATTTAAGTATCCAAATGGCATTTTTCCTCCAAATACGAAACAGTTGCAGAAGTGGGCCCTAGCAATATGAAATTGTCTCTCCTTAAAAAAAAATGTTTTAAAATCATTACTGTAGAGCACCATGAGACAACATAAATCTGCTATTCTCCATGGAACACTTCAATTCTCCTAACTAGAATCATGTCAAGCTTAATGGTCTATTATTTCCAGAACTAAATTATTTCAGTTTTCATTGTTCAACCTTGTAGAAAAAACAGGTTGGTTTTTTTTCCCTTTCTGTTTGTCAAACACAAGATACTATAATGAAATTTTACTAAATTTAGCCTGAACTTGCAAGGTAATTAGTCCAGTGGGAACATACACGGTCACAGAGTCTTTATTTTAATGGCATTATCAGGGCTTGTAAAGATAATGGAAAAGATTCTAACCTTTAAGGTCTTTAACAATACCATCATGACAGAGAAAGCCCACAGCAGGAGGTAAAGGAGCCAGAAGCACAATTTCCAGTGAAACTGGATCTCATTACCTGTAGTTTGTTGTCCACTTTGTAAACTCAGGTCTGACATCCTTTGCTTACATTCATGTCAGTCTAGACCTTGACAGGCTCCAAGACACTCCATAATTTCATTTCCCAATTGTTATTAGGTGCAGAATTTGTAATGTTTCTAACTCCCTTGATTTAAATGGGGTTCATACATTTTAAGCAAGTATCTTTGCAAACATGATCTTACAATTCAAAGCATACACACACTCATGCAACCGGCTTTGTACTGGAAACCTGTGCAAACCAGAGGAATCTCCAACAAACAAGAAAACAGTATACGTTCAGCTATACTTAAAGATGTCAGTGCCAGGCTAAGGCATCACTTCTTACGTGGCACCAGGTTTTGACCAAAGACCTTAATAGAACAGTTGGTTATGACCCGATCTTAAGAGCTGTAGAGTGGCTTCAGAGCTTTCAATGGTTTTCCTTTCCAAAGGAGGAATGACATCTGGCCACCTTTCTTGAAAAAATTATGTCATTAAGACTGGGTGTAAAATAGATTCAGGAAAAACATCTACACTTAAGACAGCCTGTACATCTGTAAACAATGGTTGGGACACAGATCCCCAAATTACCTGTTAAATTGTCCTGAGAACAAGGTGAGCAAGTCATGTAAAAGACATTTAAAAAGACAAAAATAATGTCAAGCAGGAAAAAAAGCAAGCAACATACACATTAAAAGCAAGTCTCACCAGCAGATCCGGCACATAACCTGCACAACAGTAAGACTGGAGGCATCTTGGTAAAGGAAAACCAAAGGCAATTATTTTTGTTTTTAAAGCAAGCCCCCCTCTCCTCCCCCCACACAAAAGAGAAAAAAAAAAAAAAGGTAATGAAAACATTCTTAAACATTTAAGGATTGAACAGACAAAAAAAAAAATACCTATTATGAAAAACGCTGTTAGCTGCTCCTGGCAATTATCAAATCACTTTTCACAGGCAAAAAAAGGGATTATCCTACCTTACAAGGTGCAGGACCAAAAGCTATTAATTGCTTGTACCCCTTTGGGAAAAATGTTTGACCTCTACTTCAGTGAGGTGTCAGAGCTGCTAAATTCAGTTCCTTTCTCAATGATTATATTTGTGTATACACCAGTGTTGTAACCACTAACTTTTTTTTTTTTTTAATTTGTATTAGAAGGTATAACTAAAATGAGATCTGGAGGCTATAAACTCCTTTTGGAGTAAATTATTATTGTCTATACCACCACCTTCACACTTACATTCTTCTACTAGTAAACCCAAGTTTTGTGAAACAAATATTTTGACAGTGGGATGCCACATACCATGCGAGGGTCACCCCATCAGGTCCCATAAAAGCTGAACACCTGAACTGGGTTTACAGAGTAAAGGCACCAATAGACATGATATGTATTCATCTTCCTGAGCTTCTGCAGCATGTGCACAGCTCCGGAGGTCCTTGGCCTTTCGGAGTCCACAGGAATAATGTGACGCACCATCATTAATGGGAAACTCCAATTGCCACATTCACTGACTACATCCTATTGAGAAGAAAGGCTCTCTCTGTCCTGCTCCTACTTCAAGGCCCTGACCTTTCATCAACTGGTAAAAGTCAATGTTTTAAAAGCAAATGTGAACACCCCTACTAACCTACTTGCTTTGCTGCACCTGGAAGTTATTACTGCCAAAATGCACTTGTCAGGGCAAGGGGAACCAGTATGGAAATAGTTATCACAAAAACCTGACTGCTGGAGGGTCAGTACTTGATTCAGCTATGACACGTATTTCAATTAATATTTAAAACACTGAGCTGACACAATCACACACATCTTATTTAAGTACGCCTCCCACTCTGCCCCCCTAAAGAAAACTTGACAGACCAGGATGAGAAGCTTGAATTTCAAAACAGTGTTCTGTTTTGTTTTTTGTTTGTTTGCTTTTATTTCCCAGTCTGGAGAATGCAGGAGTAATACAGATGAAGTAAGTGGATGCCTCTAAGCTCTATTGCCAGGTGGCGATAGGTACCCTTGAAATAGTGTTATCCACTTTGACAAAGCTTCATAAGTGGGATACAAAACATTAATTGATCAGTTATACGAATACTGTACCTAGCTTTCTGCAATGCCACTAATAAATTGATCTACACATATTTCATGACAGTCCTAATCTGTTTTGTGACACAATTATAGGAACATGTAAGAGACCTTACACTAGAAGGGCAAGGGAAATAACCTGCCTTGAGAGCCCTGTCTGGGATCGTGAACAAATCACTGACAGTGACCTTTCACAAGGCCATGAGAAGAGGTGTTCAAGTGAGAGGAGCTGTGGTTGCTGCTTCCAGCTCCCACTGTCTCACATCACAGCAGAACTGACAGAAGCAATGAACTACCAAATTTTGTAATCCAGAACTTCAGTAAAAAACACAAATGAAGGTGAAGTTGTGACAAAACAACACTTTGTCCTGACTAAAATTAATGGTCAGTAACAACGCTTAAGCAACACTTCAGATGAAACATGCTTCCCAAAACATTTGAGATTAGCTCCTACCAATAAACACAACTGTTTCTAAAACATCAGGAGCTAATAGGAGTTTGTCATTAAGACTTATTTCCTTCAATGGGAAATTCCTCACTGGGAAGAAGGAACAGAGAAACTTTTGCATTAGAAAGATTCTCAGCAGGTCACTTCACACTTCCCTCTTCCACGTTTTGTCAGTTCTCAGACTTTTTGCTCAACAAACACCACCTCTTTAGAACCTGTGTGTTCTACTTACTATGCAATCAAGGCAGTGTGTTGATTTTGACTGACTTAGAAACACTGGGTACCCAAATGGAATACACAGAACAAGATTTATTGCAGACAGTAGACAAGGTTTATTTTGCAGAGAACTTCCAGCTAGTCTCTAGACACAACTTCTTCTGAGGAAGTGAAAAATTAACAGGTTTAATATCTGAATATTTATTTATTTATTGTCTCTTTACAGTCTAAACTATTTCTTACTAAAGTGCTGGTAGGAATTCTGGTAAAAATTATGGAACACCTACAAATGCTACCTGAAAGTTTCTTGCACAACAAAATTAACATATGCAACAGAAAATTACCATATGTAACAGATCCGAAGGTACCTTTTTTTCAAAGCTCCTCAACATTGAAAAGTCAGCTCAAAGTTTACTAAAAGACCTTTAGAGACATCAGGTATCAATCATTTCACAGCATAACTAAAACTCAGGAAACTGCAATTAACATAGCTTTTAAATTTTGCTAAATTCAAAGTTACTGAGAGAAGCATTTCAAGGCAACTACATGTAAACTGACATGTATGCCTCTGAGGAGGTATAAAAAAAAAATTCAGAGTATTTTTTAAGTTCAGCTCCTCCCTGCAACAGTTTGAAGCATTCTGAATACAAAGACCAGGCTAAATGACAAAAATTCATAGGTCACAAAAATGCCAATTCAGCAGTGTCAAAATCTCCTGCTCTTCTTAAGCATTTTCATTACCTGTGCCCTTTAACAGCCTCTCCCAACAACAACAACAACAAAAAAACCCTGAACACAAAAACCTTACGATCAAGCCAGGAAGTGGGGCAGAGAATGCATATGCCTATTGTTTAGACTGGAATGATTTGTGGAATAACAATTGCTTCATTAAGATAAATATAATTTATTTCATCATGAAGTCATCATGCATCCTAGCTTCTGTTAATGAATCTAATTCTACATTTTAATTTTCATTTCTCAACTTAGATTCAAAATTTTCTTGGATAAACAATTATCTAGCTGATAGCTTCACAGAAGATGATTTTAAGTAATTTGCTACAATCTCAAAGAAGCCAAGATACTTGTTCTTGGCAACAGAGCATAAAGAAGCAGCACATTGCCAATCTTATTTACTTACTCAGGTGTCTTAACACAGAGGCAAAACCCTTCTAATTTCTCTACTGCCTTCCCCTACTAATCATCATATTGCTTGGGGCTTTTTGTTGGTTTTAAGAGTTGATAAAGCCAGCTTAATGATTGCAGACTACAGAGCAAAAAAGTGATAAGCAAAAGATAATATGGGAAACTTTAAAATATCTAGGGTTAGAATGATAATTTACATTTAGAGAGTAATGAACATGTTTCAGGATTCCAAGCAGGTAAACAAGCAGTAATTCCTCTAGTAAGTATTGAGTCCCATTCCAATATCGCAGTCTTGTTTTGTATTAAAACAAAGAGGTACAGTTGCTTCATAGTTGAAACATGACTGTCTGAAGGTGGGCTACCTAACAGCTTGAAAACCATCTCTGCATAACACAAGTAATTACACAGAGACCAGAGATACCCGTCTTCAAGAAAGATTATGAAATCTGAATACACAAACAGAGTAGAATGAATTTTGAGATTACTTCTTACCCAACTGATTCTTCATCATTAGAGCTGTGTCTGCTGCAGTCCTTTTGCCTTTTTCCTTTTGTGGAAGGCTCTCTGTTGTTGGCCCTTAATTTCCACTGAAATAAAACAGATACAATTGGCAGGTTCCAAAAGACATAAATATGCCATAATGGATATTACACTAAAAAAGGGAACAGTGCCAGACATTGAAACAAGGCAACTGGTCAAATAAGACTATGTACAACAATTCTGCAAAGTGAATTTGCTTGACTTAAAGCATTCATGTATCACCTGATCTTGAATGGAACTTTTTTTCTCCTAAAGAAATTTGACAACACAGAACAATTCAATTGTTTCGCTATTTAAAACGAGGGTTTATCCCAAACCGAAACTTAAAATATTAGACCCATTTTACACAATCACAAATATATAAGATAACCTCTACTTTCTTTAACTCCACGCATTTAACCAAATTATTTTCCACTCAAAGATATAAAATTCTGAGAAGAAATGTGAAGTTTTGGTACTCTTGGGTGGCAAAACCCACAACAGCAAGACTTAATTTTTTACCTTACCAGAATGCACTCTCATTTTCAAATTAAACAAATGAAGCCCCACCAAAACATGTAATTATTTCCACAATTCCATAAACCTACCTCCCTCTGCCATCACCTCATCCTAATCTCTCCTCCCACTTTTTAAAATGTAAATATAAACCAAACAGATCTTTGAGAATTATGTCAGTCAGGCTGAAAGACAACAAACTTATCTTCATTTCTGTTTAAGCATGGAGTGAAAGGGCATCTGAAAAATTTATGCCTATATTTTACATACTTTAGTGAAGTCTGAAAGGTGCATCCCAACTACCACAGGGGCTGACTCTAACGGAGAACACTCTCATTATTAAAACAGCTGGCAGCAAGAAACTGCCTTGAAAGTGCCTTCCCCTCCTCCTGCCTTCAAACATTATCTAGCTCACATCACAGCACTGGCCTTCAAGCATGTCAGAGACCTATATGCCCAAATCACTGAAAGCTGCACACAATTTCTCAAACAAAATGGAGCAAACTCTGGCAACACTAAATACAACCTGGACAGACCTTTGTATGGATAAAACAGTAATATTACTTTTAATTATGATTCCTCATAAGCAACCTTTTAAAGTAGAATATAAAGACTAACTACTGTTTCAAGCATATAAAGCCCCCTACCACATGGAAAAGTCTGAAATACATAGACAGAGGTAAGAAATATAAGAAATGGGAAATCAGACAATATACAGGAAATAAGGAATAAAAAAAGATTTTGTAATTCACCTTGTATAATCACTGTTTTTATAGAGGCAGAGAGAAAGACAACAAGAATTCTATACAAGTGCTGTCTGGCTCTGCCTAAGAGGCTGCTGCTTGTAACCACAGGAGACATTATTTCCAACTTCAAAACCTGACTGTAATTGGATGTTCTGCTCACTTAAAGCATTAATAGTATAGAACACAACCACACAGTGAGTTCGTATTGCAGCATAGTCAAATGACCGGGCCTACCAAGAGACCTGGGTCACACTACCACCACTACTGGAAGTCAAAAAAAATTCCTAATTTCCCTCACTAGGGTTTTAAAAACTCCTCCGGGGAAGAACCTGTTTGTCCACCCCCATGATCCTGAAAGCACTAACACCAGCAACAAACTCTCAATGCTGAGCTGAAGGAGTCAAGAGTAGCAAAATACGTTTCCAAAATTTGGCATTTTAAAAATGCTTACTGAAATTGGAACAGATCTATAGAAGCAACTATTTGCTTCCATATGTGACCATGATGATCAAGACAGTCATTTATGATAAATGCCATATAAGTACTCTTATAGTCTTTTGGTCTTAATACGGAAATCAGTTATTTCTGTATTAACACCTAAAATTCTGTCAAAAGTCATGCAGTATTTAATATATTCTCTTAATGTTCAAGCTCTTGGCTACCAATAATGACTAACTGAAAACTCAATGTAAAAATTATTTCCATATCATAACAAAAAGTTTGGTAAGTGACCTGAATATAACGTAGAAGTTCAGGAATCAGAAGACAATTAACTAAAAAAACAAAATTTGCCTTTAAATTCATGATTTTCAAGATAATTTTAAACTACACCCAAAGACCAACTCTGCTTTTTAATGATTTAGGCTTGCTAAATGGCACTGAGACTTCCACCTCTGTAACTGTACGCTTGCAGGCAGATTTCAGCCCTACACACTTGTCACTCTCCAAGACAGTCTGCGTCAGATATTGGCCACAAGGCAGCACTCAGTATTGAAAAAAATCCAGCCTCCAAAACAGAACCAAAAACCCATATAACATTCTCCTACACACTTTACACTCCAAATAACTTCTCTTTACCTCTTTTAAAGGGTAGTCCCAATGGTGGGAGCCTGGGAGCCTTGCCAAAAGGGACTGAACTTGAACATCCTCTGACTTGGCGTTTGTTTTCTTCTTTGGTATACGAAACTGAAAATAGATGATGTTACACACATGATAAAACTAAATTATCCACTGGTGCCATGAGCTGACGTAGTGCCATCTACGAAGTTTTCTTAACCGTCAAGCAAAATAAAAAAGTTGCAAGGGAAGCACCATCCTGTGACTTGACTTTAAATGCATTCCTCACTGATGCTTGATCCCAAATCATGTGTCATACCACATGAGAAGCTAGTTTTAACATATGAACTGTCTTAAAAATCAAGAAAAAGCTCTTCCTATTTCATTAACTTTACAACTTCAAATGTATGCCCAAAAGGTGAGAACCAATCTACTGGTACTTATGGTTTTCTTAGTTCCCTTGGATTTGTTTACACTCTAGTTCAATCACTTCAGCTCAGAGAATGGTAAAGAGAAAACAAAATAGATGAATACCACATCAGGTTTGTTCTCTCAAGAAAAAAATCAGGATGAAGAGCAATTACATCTTCATATGATAATTAACCATCAATACACTATAATGTACTCAAAATGGTATCAGCTATTGTGATTGCCAACCTTCACAAAAACAAAACCAGAATTTTGAAAGTTATTATTGAAAGACAAAGTAGTTAGCAATCCATAGAAACTGGCCAATTCAGAGAAAATATCTAAGAAATAATGTTCATTCACTGAAATTCAAAACAAAAATGGTAAAACTAAACTCTTACCTCTTACCAGTTCATCAAGACAAGGAAAGAGGGTGACATTTCCTATCAGTTAATTAAACCAGTTAAAATAACATCAACTGAAAGAATAAAAGTGTAAGCTTTGTCAGTTCTCCAGGTATCCTGAAAAGCAAAACCTTACACTGCAAACACGACCAGATTGGAACATATCAGAGAGGGAATGCAACATTTTCAGCTTTCAGACAACTGAGTCTATCTCAGCCAAGAAAAAGCTGAAGCTACTCCACATGATGGCTACTGTCAAGCGTATTATGAACTTAATTTGCAAGCCACCAAATGCCCTACTTTGTAACATGAAATTACAAGTAAGGACTCTAGAACAGCAACACTAACAACTTAATAATTAAACAGGAACTGCATTCATTAGCTCTGTAGGTAATTCTTCAGACATAAATGAAGCATACTGTACCATAATGAGATAATTCTTCAGTTTGAATTGTGAGTGCTCTTACAGGAATAAGAGCACTATGCTCCATGCTTCCTTGAAACAAAGATTTATTTTTTTTTAGTAATTAGACCTGAATGTCTATACAGTACCTCAAACTGCTTTTGCTGGTCAAACACTGTAATAATTAATATGCCTTTAATAACTGATTCCTCAAATTATGAAGGATGTAGGTGTCACGCACAGGCAACAACTTATAATACAAGTACCTCCCTTACATTTCAATCAACATTTAAGGACTGAAATAGACATTTTCTCATTCAGAAATGTCTGCAATAAGATTGTTTGATTTTGGCGTGGGTTTTGGGGTTGGTTTTTTTTTTTTTGGACAGGTGGCCTACAAACTTATTTTATCAGTCAGAATGCATTCTTCTGATCTGCACTTTAATGACCAGGTACAAATTTCTTACTTCAGAACTCCACCTGCTGCCTCACTAGTGGTTTCTGTTATGAGCTTCCTAAGAATACATATATATCTAAAATTTTATCTGAATGTCTGTAACTGTAAATGCATGTTAACCTCTGTTATAACGTAACAGACAACACCAAGAACAGGTAAGGTCAGACTCAGAAAACAGAGAGATGGACAGACAGAAAGGGATAAAAAGTACAAGATATGTTCATCCGCAAAAATTCCACCTCACCGTACAATATCTTCCCAATGCTTGCACTCATTAAGAAGATGTTGGTTTGCAATGCCCACAATCACCTTACAGAACAAACACAAAGCCAAGAAGTAACCAGCAGAGGTCTGCACCTATGGTAAGTGCAGTTGCCGCAGCTTTTCCCTAATAGAAAGTGACTAACTCAACACATCCATGTGCACATGCACTTAGAAGACTCCTCATCTAAACCAGCAGTACTTCCACTGAAGGTTCCCACATGTAGGAGCAAGGATCAGAGAAAGTGCATAAACAACGTGCTAGAAACAGCTTATTTCTAGAACACTAGACAGTACAGACCTTACCCAATCAAGGCAGTTGCTTTGCCTACAGTTTGTTTTCACCAGTGCTTCCATTGCTAGAAACTACTACTAATAGGAACATTTTAGAAAAAATAAACGCCAGCAGAAGTAGCCTCTGAACACACCTCTGCAGAAAACTAAATATTATGCAGTTATGCAGCTCTTCTACTTGTACTTTACTCTCAGTATTTCAGATGTTATCTTAGGTCTTAACACATCCTGAAAATGCACTGTTTATGTGAAATCAAATGTTAAGGCTATCATGTATTGATACATGTTCAACAGCAGACATTACTATTGACTACTACCAGAATAAACCGTTTCTCAGGAAAGAGAGCTCCAACTGCTATGGTTTTGTGTGATGGGTTTGTCTGGCAGCAGGGAGGGGCCACAGTAATGGCTCCTGTAAGCAGCTGCTAAAGGTCTCCCCATACTCCAGCTCTGCTGGCAGCAAGGGAGGGGCTGCAGTGGTGGCTCCTGTAAGTGACTCCTAAGGGTTCACCCCCACTACCCTGCTCCAAGCCTTTGGTAACCGGGAGGGGGAGTGGGGGAAGGAGTACCACTGATCTAGCCCCTGTGAGAAACTGCTGGAAGTTTCCCCAGCTTCAGGCTGGACCCAACCCAGGCCAGGGCTGAGCCAATCGGCACCTCTGTGAATAACATATTGAAGAGGGGGCACCGAACAATGGGTTTGGAGCAGCCCTGGGCAGGGCCCGGCTCTGTCAGGCCGGTCCGGCTGTCCAGCCACCTGCTCGGCTTCTGCAAACCGACCTGCTGTAGCTCAGGCCTCCGCCATGGCTTGCCCGGGAGTCCG